GAAATATGAAAAATATACGATAACCGTACCTTTATCACAAACACATTTTACAACGATATGTTTCTTTACTTAACTTAATAGTTATAAAAAAACGTTGCATGCGAGGAAAAAATACAAATTATTCGTTGCCTGCACTTAAATGTATTATTCTTCACAATAGCTTTTCTTTGCCCTACCATGTTTTTTTACAACAATGATTGAATTACATTGGGAAATTTGAAACTTGGTAAAAACTATATTACACCATTGTAAAGCCCTTTAAATAAGGAAGATTTTAGTAATATTTGTTAAACTCAGTGGAACTCGGTAACCGAGAAATAAATTGCTGAATGTTATTTAAATTTTCGTCGATATTAAAAATAATTGTTTAACGAAGAAATTTAAGTAGGATATTTTTCCGTACCCCAACGATTATGTGTTATATCTATTTAAAATTTTGTGAGGATTCTGAAAATGACATTTAAATTAACAATTAGTGCATTTTTAACAGAGTAATATAACCTTTTTCATAACAACTACAATAATTTTTGGAAAACCTTAATTCATTTGTTATTCCCTAACGGTTGAGGTTGGGAACCTCAAATGTGCGTCATTATGTCTCCATTACAATGTAGTTTGATGCAAAATTTTATTTAACACTTATGGCCGGACACCCTGTATATTCTTTTTTAATTAAAGTATAATTTGTTGATTCATTTAAATTATGTCTATTATAAAAATATAAACATTATAGTTGTTTAAAGATTTGCAACTTCTTTTGTTGTTGCATGCAACAAACATTATACTTTTGTGTACAAGTGACCAGGCTTATATACATTTGCTACTATACAAAGTGAAGATTTTGTTCAATATTTATTATCGTCTTTTTAAATTGTGTTGTTTGTGATAAAAAAATCCAGGTCGGTACCAGAATTTAGTTTTCCATACAATTTTACAAGACAAGTGTATGGTGTATGTCTGTACCTATTGATCAAACATTTTAGAATGTTTTAAAGTAAGTATTATCTACTTTCCAATTTTATTTCTTAAACTAAGCATTGAATATACATTATGTAACAATATTTCATACAATAAAAGGCATATATATATATATATATATATATATATATACTCTTTTTATACCTCTATATATATTTTTCTGTGAAAACAGTTTATGTTTATGGATTGTCAATTACTACATACATGTAAAATTTTACAAGTGGTTATTGTTGTAAACTGAAACGTTCATACAACTTCCTTTGCATTATTTTAAATATTCTCTTGTTTGACTTTTAAAACGGTGTTCGATAACAAAGATTGATGTTGCCTCATCTTCTTGGCGTTTCTGAACTTTGTTAACCTGTGAGGTGGAACTTTTCCAACCAAAATATAGGTAGCTAATAGATGTAAATGTATATATATATAGTTTTTAGATCAAGTATATTAAACGTTTTAGGACGAGTTCCCAATGTAATAGCCAGATAAATATCAAACAGATTTTTACTTTAGTATAACAACATATTGCATAGCTGAGCAAATTCGTTGTAAAACTATCGGAAACTGTTTTACTATACTTATATATTTATACTATTTATATCACACAATGTAACAAATGTATTTTTCATTGTGTAAATACTGGTGGACTAACTTCGGTGACATTTAATGCAAAGAACGCCAAGGCTCTCAAGACTTATATTGACTATTTTAGCACGATATAAAACTTTATCTTCGGATCTTTCAAAATTCTGAGTTGGGTCTTTGACATTAATTAGACTCCTAGGTAAAATAATTCAAGATGTGTAATCCACTGTTATTTGATTGGATTTTTAAATTGTTGAAGATTTTACGCTAATGCAGGATACAGTAATGTTAAAACTTCATACGTTGTTTGATCGTTAAAAGAAATAATTAAAATTATATTTTTACAGCAGCTTTAATGAATTCATTTCTTAATTACTGGTTTATATTCTGGTGTACAGCACGGGGAAAGCTTGAGGGTTTTTTATATAACGTGACATAAACACATTTTATTAATTGACAATTAACTACCTATCTAACTCACCCTGCAGCTGGATACTTCAGAAGCTATATTTAAGTTACTCTGATTAATCATGTTGAATATTAAAGATTCTTCACAGCCATAAATAAAATACCACTCGTGCTTATTTTTCTGAATAGTACCCGTCGATATATATTTTTTATTTAGCTTATTTTATTTGTAAGAAGAGATTAATATAGTTATTTGTGGAACACAAAACGATTTATCTGGAAAACTACTCCTTGAAATAAAATTTCAGTTTATTAGCGAATTTCCCTATAGGGAAGTAGCTATTACCGTAGGTCTCATGGTAAGACTTAGGCCCGGGACCGATTTACTTTTTCATTTTGATGTCCCCAGAGGCCAAAAACACCATTCGTAAAAATGTTTATATATGTATATATATATATATATATTTATTATTTTCTTGCATTTTTAGGGCTACTATATATGTATATATACTATTATATATATATGTGTCCGTGAACACGATAACTTGAGTAATTTTTATCCGATTTTGATGAAATTTGGTTTGAAGGTGTAAGGCGGGATTAACTTGAATGAGTTCGCGATCCAGCATGATCGGACCATGGGAACAGGGTTTTATGGGGTAAAAATTGGTTTTTCTCACTTTTGACCCTGAAAACACAAAATTTCCCAATTTTTCTCTAAACCTTCTTAAAGAGCTTAAAAAAACAAACAATTCAGTATATCAAAGTGTTTTTGTACGGTTATTGGTTACGGAGAAAACTAAAAAAATGTAAATTTAAAATTCCCATGTTATTTTTATGGAGAATATTGTAAAATGTTGTAGTTTGCTTGTTTATGGATATCTTTTGATAAAACTTGGCAAATATATTCATTTTCTACTAAGCAATAATTATTTTACTTAAAATACACACTTTATTAGTTTCCTTGTAGCAGCAAACCTAGGTACTCGTTAAACCTAATATTATCTAAATAGATCGATTGAAAATCAATTCAGCCAAATGGAAATTCGCTTAGACGGCAGGTTTGCTGTGGCGGGGGTATTTTAACATTTATTTGTCACTATAAAATAAATAAGTACTTTATTCTATTTATGATTATTTCATTTTCTCAGGTATTTTTATCATTAATAAATATATAATGTCGTGTGTCGTAAAATATTCCTTGATATAGCTTTAAATATTCAATTTTTTTTACAATGTTGATTTTGGATCCAAACTACAGTTAATCCTTGGATATACCATATCGATATAGCTATATCCTTGGCTATATCCTGGATATATCCTTGTAATTATTCTTGGCTTTAACATCATATCGATACTAAAGTCTAACAGTAGCATATTTTTATAGAAATATTTACTATTTATCCTACTTAATTGCAATGGAAACTTCACGGTCAAATATATTTTACTTGTAGCGTTTTTCATTGTGGAAAGTTGAGTAGGTCTTAGAATTTTTTTGCGATGGTTCCAGACGGATTTGTAGTGACAATCGTATCTCGTCGGAAACAGAGGTGTTTCGTGAAGCGGAAACGTGATAATCCTCTCTCAAAACAAACGTTGTCGGATGTCATAATCACGGTTTATGGCATTTACAACTCTCATGCTTCACACCTTCGTTGAGTAATAATTTATCTTTTTGAGGAACTTAACACAAAGTGATTAAGGTAATAATTTTTCTGAACAAGATTCAAGCAATTCCTGCTTGATTCCAATACATTATCTATGGAATCAAATACTTTTTTGTGTATATTTAACAGTTTCTTCAGATTTTTAGATATTTTGAATTTTGGTGTTTATATTTAATGAAATCTTTCTGTCAACAATTAAAATCGGGGCAAAAAAGCCTAATTGCGAAATGTAAGAATAACTAAAATACATACATAATACACACATTTTATCACATACATTCACGAGTAAGTTTTATTGCAAAAGTTTCAATGAGAAAAGCTCAGGCTATCGGGATTTCCAAAAGAGTTTACAAAGGTTGAACGTGATTGGACTTGGAACAGTCTTTTGTTCCAGGTTAAAATATTCAATATGGCATAGGGCGTGTAAAACTGCGGTTCCAAATTAATTAGATTGGTAAAGGGTGAAAGGGTGTTATGGGAAATAAAAACGCCTTTCAATTGTTTAGTTGTTGAAAGTCTCATCATCAAAGTGTAATTCATATTCTAATCGTGGTATAAATTGCATTACTACGATATCCAGTTTAAAATAAATGTATTTAGTAAAATATTTTCGATCCCTAATGTACAGAATATTTCAGAATTCATGTCAGACACTGTAGGGTAGTAATGTTAGAGTGTTGATATAAATCCACGTATGCTGATTGTTAACTAGAACTTAACACATACAAGTTTCAAAGCTATTTTAACATACTTGTATTTTTTTTACACATAAAGACAAAGAGACAACCTCTACAACTTTTTTTGTTATTATAATTTTTAGCTTACGAAAAATCTAGACACAATACCCTTAAGTATCCGACGAGAATTCTGGAACACTCTGTATACGTTTAAAATTATTACAAAACCTTTTGTGAACACTATTGTGATATATTCTAGCTAATAAGGCATATAGGGCAGTTCATCATTGATTTATCCGTTTAAACTATCTATGTGGATGGATTTACCTACTATTTTACATTGATGCACTTACAATCGTATTGAAAATGGTACTCATATTTGTAAAATCCACTACTAAAACTGTTGTACTGTCAGAGTCTATATTTGTCAGATGAATTACTCTTTCATTTGTGGTGTAAAAAATGCCTCAGAAGAAATCAACCCACATTGATATACAGGGGGCATGGATCATATGAAAATAACTACTCATTAAGGTTAAGTTTAACATAACAATTTTCTTTTATGACTGAACCAGCAACCATCTAGACGAGCACTATAAAATATCAGCTGTTTAGAATACATTTTTATCTGCCAAAATTCTAAGTTTGTTTTTATTTTTTATGTTTTCAAGTACTTGCTATGTTTCAGTGTGATCCTGGGGTTGGAGTGGACACGTACTTCCACGCTCTCTACACACACACTCACACACGCATGCCCTTCCTGCTGGGTTCAGGATGTTCACAGGTCACTGAGAGTCTGGCAAAGATAACACCTTACTGGAACATGGTACAGGTGAGCTTATCTAAAAATCTTATTCAAAGGAAGTTTTGTTTTTTGTTAAACTTATGACGGCTTAGCCTTTGGCAGTGTGGAGAACAACCCTCCCCCTTCCCACCCACCACACAAAATCTGGTTCAGTGGTAGCTCAGAAAAAGGTAGGAGGAATGAAAATGGATTTCAAGACTGCTTTTTCCAATCCTAATAGAGAATAATTTCTACTCTAATATTTAAAGTTTGTTATTTTCTAATTACGTAACTCGAATGTGTATTTTTATTTACGTACTCAATTTCAAAATGTAAATTTGTATACAAATTAGAGGGAAATGCTCATTTATAAAACTAACCTCACTCAAACATCTAAGTACATAAAGTAAAAAATTGACCAAAAAATAAATCATTAGCCCATATATTTCAAAAGAAATGTACGACAAAGGAAACTTTTTGGGAACAGCAAATTCAGTTTTCAAAAGGTTATTTTAAATAAGTGACTTGTTGTAGCTTATAACATATTCCAGAGGGCTTTTCAATCAACCGAATAATTTTAGACCAGCAATAATTATTTCAAACATAATATGAAGACAAGGATTTACAAATTTAATTCCCATAAATCAGGATGAAAACACAATTTTATAAGATAAATACTGCTGCTGCAAGATGTATTTATTTTTCATTTAATACGTAATTTTTTATTAATCTCCACTTGAGTAAACAATAAATCATTATAGTTCTATAAACAGAGCTTTAATCTGAAGTAATATTATCAGTTGGCTTAAAACTACAGTTTAGAGCAGTAGTGACATACATTTTCAAGTATTAGAAATAGACATTTTTAATTTGCTACCACAAGAAAATTCATGTTGCTAATATACACTGCTGTTAGGTGAACATTTTGTGACCAAAGCAGAAATTGTAACAAGTTTCTTGTTTGTCAGTGTCCTAATGACTAGAGTTTGCTAAGAGACTTTATAAACTATGCTAATGAACTATTTAATCTCTAGAAACTTTGAAACTATGCATACTGCAACTGTTTCCAGCAGAACTCTTTTTTTAATGCTCCAAAAATGAAGTTGGTTTGGAATTAAATATAGTAGAGCTACTTTGTCATGGAGATTTTTTAATTACGCTCACCTCTATAAAATCCTGAGTTATAAAAAAAACTGATCGCAGTTCGTCCACATTGAGTGAATATATATCTTAATATTCATATTCGATCTGTATTATCAGTCACAGTAAATTGTTTAAGCCATATTTAGTAAAGACTATAGAATGTTATTCTATGTATTCTATGTATTCTATAGAATGTTATGTCGAGTATATGAAAAGTTCGATTTCTTTTTATCGCTATTCCTTATAAAACAATCTCCGTTTTTACGACTAGACAGTAAGTCACACCCTGAAAATTTTAGTTGAAAAAGTATTGATATAAATTTACTCTGCATTTAAAAATTATCAGATATGAATACACGACCAAACAAGCTTAAAGGGTTTCGTTTTCAATATCAAAAGTTATTTTACCATATATGGTGATAAGTTAGTGACCAATAATACGCAGTAAATAAACCTCTTAGTTAACCTTAGCAAAAACTGGGTTTGTGTTGAATGCATTGAAAATGCAATTATAATAATTTATTTTATATTAAAATTTAATATAAAGGTGTCCTGTATTCCAGGATGAACAAAAAAATCAAGTGAAATATTTCAAAAACCCAAAAATTAACTGATTAGAATTTTTTTTAGAAAACCATGCGTTTTGTAGTGAATTGAAATTTGGAACATAAATCTTTATTGTAAAATAAAATTATCTAAATAAAACATAATTTTTTTTATTGGAATTCACTAAAGGACAACGTAATAAAATAAAAATAGTTCTGTTGATAAACAACTTGCGGCTGTATGGGTAGTTTTTGAGTTGTTGATATTTTAGTTCGTCTTTAGTCCTGAAATGATATTTTAAAAGGTCAGTAGAGAGTTAGGGAACACCCTGTAGCATACATTGAACATCAAAATGTATGTGGCACTCTGACAATATAGCAACACACGAGGGAAACAATTTTGTTTCTCTTGTCTAAATTATAGCCTTGTAACAACAGTGTGGTAAAGTTAATAGAACCAAAACAAATGTATGTTCTTGCCAGGATTCTGTTGTTAGTCAATAATTATACCATGTGTTCCCATCCCTAATACTAATTAGTTGATATCTCAATAATCTCCACTCCGATTATAAAATACATGTTTATAAACACAGTGTTATGCAGGTTGCACAATTGAACGAAATTGTTTTGCGATTAAAGAGATTTCCCCTAATTAATGGAAGTAACCGGTATTGAATTCTAATTAACGGTAAATTCTGTTTGTATTTCAAAATTTATAACTATACTGGAAACCTATTACAAATTTGCAATGCATAGGTTTATTAGAACTTTTGAGGACTATGATAGTATGTAGGAATTAAAAATATAATTGAAATCCACTAATCTTCAATTAACACATTTATTTATCTATTTACTGGTAAACAATTTGTTACAAATTAAATATCTCTGTTTCTTTTACAAACCGAACTATGCATTCAATTGCCGTAAAACGAATGGAAATAGTTTTAAATACAACCAGGAAGGTTAATGTCTTATTCTTACTTACCTAATTATTCTTACTCCTGTAGCTATTGAAACCTAGGCGGTCTTTGGCCTCCAGGATCCTCTGTCTTCTGCCAGTTCTAGGCCTGCTCGGGTCTGTTTCCATTCTTCTTCATTCCTTCGTAGCCTCGTCAACCCATCACATCAACTTATATAACCAAGAAAGGCAATTGAGATACAAATTGAAAGGACAATTGAGTAAAAAATGACTGCCGATCAAAAATTCAAATTGGGATTCAAGAAATCGTTTAACGGCTACCATTTTCGACTCGGTTGTCCGTTTACGGTTCACATTTGTGGCATTGTATTTTACTAGTAAAGAACTTTAATTTGTTATGCATATCGTCCTTTGCTTACATTAAAGACTTCCTTCTAAATCGCTAGCGGGCCTTCCCCTTGAAATGGTAGCGTATCACTGAATAATGTGTTAAAATAATTTTAATGGTCAGTGACTTTGTGCCATGTTTTGTTGCTTTTTTACAACTTTTTTGGAATATTTTAAAGTCCCAAGACATTTTTCCTCCCTGTATATGCATCGATGATAAATATATTTCAAATATGTTTTGCCATTTTCTACGGAATGTTTTTTTTTTCATTATTGGTAATACTTATGTTTTTGTCACAGTTTTCAAACGCTTAAGTTTTTAAGCTCATATCCCGTAGAAAAGCACGAGTTAAGCTACTAAAATTTCATAACTATTACATTTTACCATTTGTTCATATTACGGTTAGTTAAACCCACACATTGTTCTCTCTGTCGCTAAACACACAGAGTAAAATAAACAGAACCAGATCGCTGCGACTAAGTTTGCTCTGTGGACGTTCAGTGTTTTCACTGCTACAATCATACAGCTGTTATGCATGGTCTAAAGTATTTGCACCATGTGGTATAAAGTAACCTGTTATATTAATCAGCAGATATTTACACTTTTAAAATATGTAACAAGTTTGATGTGTGTTATACCGATTTGGACGTGTGTCTTCTACAATAGCTCTGTCAAAAGGTTACCCCTTCTACAGTGCAGAAAAGCTACATTATTTCGTCTCTAGTTTTTAAGGTGATAGTTTACACTTTGCCACTGTTTAAGGTACTAGTTTAGAACTCGTCCATTTCCATTACTCACCTAATGAAGGAATAATATTGGTATAAGTAAGGAATTGTACTTTTATCAACTAATAAAGTTAACAGATATACCCCGATAAGAGATTAACACAGCTTATAACATTTAACAGATCAATAAACCCCTCATACTCAAAAAATTAATTAACACTTTATCATTGTAACTGAAATAGGAATGTCGTGTGTCAACAAATTTGCAATAGCTGTTTCATATATTTTTTGATAAACATTTAAATACAAATTACAAATAACTTTTTCGTCAATATAAAAAACTGAGTGCACGTATAAAGAAGTACAATAACTGGATAGGCGTCAATGTTAATTTTGTAGTGAGTTATGGAGTGATTGTAGACTATATCTGATACAGTGATGCTTTTTTGAAAATACATTTTAGCCATTTCTTGGATGTGTTTTTTTCGATCAATAATATCAATGTGAGTTTGGGAAGGATGAGATGTATTTTGTAGTTTTTTAGCGGTTGAAGATCAGCAGGCACTTCAGCTAGAATCAATAATTAAAAGTGCAATGACCAATGACTGATGTGTCTGTAGACTATTGAATACATTTTATTTGTGTGACACCGACACCAGAATGTTTATTTTAATGTGAAAACCAGTTTGGAATGAATCAGACATCTGTTAGTGACCGTATTTGTTTATTCAGACAGGACAATAAAAAATAAAAAAACAATGACCAAGGACAGCTGGGGCCAGTTAAAAACAACAACAAATCTTTTTACTTTTTAGGGCCGAACCGGTGACCTTACAATACCACTAGGAACATTATACACACTCAGCTATTCAACAGTATGAATTTCATGTAAATTTTTTGCTTTGACGTGACAATTATCATGTATTTCTACATATTACAGGTGTCGTTCGGCTCCCTATCCCCCGCTCTAAGTGATCGTCGGGAGTTTCCCCTGTTCTACCGCACAGCAGCTCCAGACTCGTCCCACAACCCAGCGAGGCTAGCCTTCCTCACCAGGTTCAGATGGGAGACTGTCACAGCTCTGAGTCAAAATGAGGACGACTACACTTTGGTATGTAACGTCTCCACCACACAAATCATCATTGTCTTTGTCAACAAACATAATTTGTAGACTTTCGTGGTTGTCATAGTGATTGTCAACAATGTCAGGTGAATATTACTAGCAGTTCTTTCTTACTATGAAGATTGGTCAGTGGCTAGGCTGACTTAAATCGCAGCTGGTGTAATGGTTGGGTTTGAACGGGAAACTTCTGTTCTTTGTTCAGGTTCAAATATCGGATTTAACCAATATGTTCAGGCAATGTGATGATTCTTTGACACAGTGATCCCGGTCCATTTTAAGAAATATTTATACCTTAGAATTCAAAACTGAATCGGTTCCTCAGGTAATGAGAGATTTCTCTGCACTTCAGCCACGACTAAAACCATAGCAGTGTTAAGATAGTAGTGTAAAGTTTATTTGTTCTTTTTTGCCTACCTAGGAGACCTTTAATTTTCTTTGTGTAGGTGGACTTTAGGTCGGAAAAGGGACAACAAAGTCCTCACCATACAAAAAATTGTCACTGGATTTTTTTTTTGAAAATATGAGAACCATGTTACGAAATCAATGGACTGCATTTTTCGTACCTTCGATATTATCAGCTTGATTCCAATGGCCTGGACAAAATAGAGGATAAGACGCATTTAATTTACAAACGACTGTTTTGTAAACCACTGTAGCCAACTTAAATAAAATATGTAGCCAACTTACACTGGCAAACAAACCCCTAAATCTTACCCCATGTGATTTTATACTACATGATATAACCTGTTTCTACACAAACTTTTTTAAACAAGACCTGCTCTCTCAAGGCCCGAGATACATATAGGGGTTTTAACATTTTATTTCCTCGTACTTTGAAGATCACCAGTTTCAACTTTATTAAATCCCGAACACTTAATTCAATTTACACCCTTTTAATCATTTTTACCTTCATAATTTGACATCCCAACCAACGCTTAAAAGGCGTCAGCCCCCTTGGATATAATATTTTCAAAAAAGTTCCAGCCAACAAATATTAAAATTTAGTTCAGCTAATACATAATGTATTTATTTTAATTGTTACCGAGCTTGCGAAAAAGAACTGTTTCCCCCTTATCTAATATTTTGGGCATCAGGTTATCAAAAATACGACTTTTATAATTAATTCTGAATCCCATTAAAATGAAACGATGCATGGGTATGATAAAATGACAAAAAATACCAAAGAAAGTCTTGAAAATCGGTCGTTTACGGAGTGAACAGTTAAAAGTTTGAAAGGTGAAGCCGAAAGATACGCTTTCAGAATATTCAACATAACACGGGTAACGATCCAGAAGAGTGAAAACCTTGTCTCTATGTGATATTTTGGGGCGATCATACTATGTTCCTTTTTATGAAATTTTTCAATGCTCCAATTATAAAGTGTTAATTGTCAGGAAGCAATGAGATTAATCAAAAAGCTGTTGTTAATAAATTAAAAAATATACGTACTAGTCATTCATTTTGTCACTGTAAACTTTGTTGGCTCTTGAATTACTTTCTTAAAACACGAGACACATGCACACGCAAAGAACGCGCAAAGACACACGCACACATGCAGAACTTGAAATGACATAATTCTTGTTAAAGCCATTAGCTCTGACAAATCATATATTTTTACATACAAGTGTGAATAATAACTTCAAAGTATTATTTAATCAGATACTGAACAAAGTTTTATGTACTAGAATGTGTTCGAATCATTTACTTTATTGCATTCAATAAATAGTATGCATTCAGTGCTATAATGTTATAGGTAATGTGATTACTGAATGCACGAAATGTAATTTTGGCACAAAGTAATATTTTATTTGTCAAATAGAACAATACTAGCGTACACAGAAACCGAATAGCGTTTGCCAATGAAAACAAACGCACATCAGAAATATGATGATTTGACGAACACACCCACTGAGTTTGTTTTTTCCCTGTGAGCGGCCACGGTTCTATTTGTCAGAGTTATTTGGTATGATACATTGAAACTGTTTATTTATGTTACTGTTTCGTCCGATAAGATTTGAACTTGACGTTTTAGTTTTAGTTTTTAAAGTCACAACCTCCATAGTGTCACAATTCAAATTATCTTTCCACCATGTGTACTGTAAAGTAAAAATATTTTAGAACTATTTTAGTAATTCATTAACGATTTAATATTTAAGAGCAACCCAAGCATACATTACAAATTATTAAAGTCTTTACTTTTAAAAGCTAGTTAAAACGAATTGTCAAAAATACAGTTATATAACATAGTCATACCAATTACATTTCGTGTAAAATTACCTCAAAACTAGCAGGGTTATCTGGGATTGGTTATAATAGGTTGGTTATAATTGGTTATAATAGTTGGTTATGAAGTGTGTTACTCAGTTTAAAATGTCAGTGGTTTTAGACTAAACGCCCACTTTGGACCTCTGTGACTGAATTGCACTCAGATTCAGTTGATGAAATTGTAACCACTAATTAAGTCCAAATTACCCAAACTTGTGGGGCTATTGCTTTTGATCTACTATCACACAAAATGTGGTGTGTATATTTTAAATATAATCTTACTGTTCAGTCATAGTTTAGATCATAGAAGTATACACCATACCTTTGTAGCCCGAGGTCCCGGGTCCAAAGCCTGAAGTAATGTGACAAACAATTCCGGGCTCGTGCCTAGCGTCCCAGGGCAAAAAAAACCCTAGGTCTAGACTGAAGTAGGCCTACGCGTAAAACATATCTGGACTAGAACCCAGCGGCCTAGGATGTAAATATGTGACAAAATAAAATAAATGGAATTAGTCCCTAGTGTGACTACCCAATATATGTAAACGAAATTGTATTTTCGTGGTGATGTTGCCAAAATTTGTCATAAAAAAACATAAAGTTTATTTGAGTTTGCTCTGATTCTGGCGATGGCAAATGAAACTTATACAACTATTGCCTTGTACGCTTTTAAAGTTAGTTCTGGATTTTATTCATGATGAAGTATTAAACAATTTATTTGTTTTCAGGCTGTGAACGACTTGGTAACCCAGCTAGAGCAGGCCAACATCACTTGCAGGGCAACCATTACATTTGCTGAGACTGACTTCAAGGAACAGCTAAACCTACTTAAGGTAACGTAAACAATACGTACAATTAAACTTTTAAAACCCACTAACGCTACAAGGGTTTGTCATAACCTCCTACGGTTTGAATTAAATAGGTGTAAAACACATTTTCCAACAAACATCAACACATAATAAATTGCATGCATATTTTTTAAATGGTTAACCTGATTTTAAAATACGTTATATGCCGAAAGAACAAAACACTTGACTAGAGAGAGAAAGAATACTAGAAAACATAGAAAAAAATCGTTAATATTAATATGCAAATGAAACTGTCAAAAACTTCCAAATCATTTTTTATTGTTATTACTGTTTATGTGTTTATACAAGACTACCGTATATTCAAGCCAATGGGGTCATTTGTTAATGTTTATGGTCCATACCGTTATCTGTTCTAATATCCGTGAGTATACAAATGACATAATGTCGGATGGATGCATGCAATATATTATTGTAGAACTGAGTTTGTCATGTTTTGAATATTTTAGGGGTTTAAGTGGTATTCATTCCATATTGAGTAATGACACTTTCAATCGTTTTACGTAAAGAAATCTTAAATATAAAAATATTTTATATAGCAAGATTTTATTAGTTAACAAAATAGCAATGTACTCTAATTAAGTTTCTAACATAAATACGACCTACGATAATTTAAATTGATTAGATATTGTAATTAAACATTTTTCCCTAAACCTAAATTGTAGCATAATTGGCGTTGAAACACACGCTAATCTACAAGTTACATAAATAAACGTTCATTTACTCACAGAGACGGGAAGATAATTAGAGACTGCAATAATTAAGTTGAGAGTTGAGATTGTATCTTAACTACAACGTTCATAGGTTCGTTATTCACTCTTGAACGCTCAACTGAATTAAACACTCAAGTACAACTTGGCCAATTTCAAGCTTTAGCTGGTCCCATAGTTTTCACTGATGCTGGAATAAACGAATACGCAATATAACTGTACACAAGTGCCATGCTCTTTTTGAAAAGTTTTAGTTGTTAGATTTTTTCAACCTTTAAGAAATTTATTAAATTGGACAAAGGTAAATTAATTTGATGTCATTAGCAATATGTTGTCAACTTTCATTTCATACAATCACTTGTATGTAGAGGTAGAGTGGTCATTTAGTAACGTCTACAGGGTAGTGATAGTAATACTGCAATTATCGGTAATGAATAAAAAAACCTCACTATAAAAAAAAAAAATGAAGTCGGGAAAGCTAATTTAAGGATTCCGCTAGTGTACAGTCATTATTGTACAAATAAAAATTCTGTGAAACATTTTTTTTTGAAAATATAGTATAAAGTTTTATCTAGGATCCATAACACTCAACACAAGTTCTAATTACCAATAGTGTCAATCAACCAATTGAGTTTTTACCTATCTGTATGAAAACGCTTTTTTGAGATAAGACACACAAAATGAAGTACACCATAAGACAAACAATCAAAGCCATAAATTTCCCTACAAAGGCCTTATGAAGACACTGTTTAACAGCATTCAAGCTAACAGTACCAATCAAATATTTGTCTCGATCAAAATATTTCTTGTAGAAATAAATACGTGGTTTTAGTGAATAAGAATAAATTACATGTTGGGCTACTTTTGTTTAGTCCTGAAGTGCGATATCTAGGGGAAAAGAAAAGGCGAAATGCGAACAACGTAGATGCGATTCAAATTATAAACTTTGTTTGTGGTTAAACAATATCCATTCTTACGAAACTGTAGACGAAACGATGAAGAACAATTTTCTTCAAAGTTTCTTAACTTTGAGAAGTTTGTATTGCTTAGCCACAAACAATCTTTTTAGTAATAAATAAATCACTTTCTATCTGTATATTACTGATACTCTATTTTTTCCAACGATGCAAGTGCAGATGTCATAATGTAAATATTTTCCCAGGAACTCGATACAAGAATAATAATCGGAAGTTTTTCCCATAGAGTTGCTCCGAAAATATTTTGTGAGGTGAGTATTTCAAAGCCTGCTACTATAATAACTTGATATAGTTTGATTTTATTTTAGTCATAATAATAAATGAATTTATTCATTAATTTAATTAATTTTTTATGTAATTTAGTTAATAATGTTCTTTTAAGGAACAACGTGATGTACCTAATGTGCGTTTTAATGTAAATAAAGATTTAATACAATACCAAGATTTAATTTATCGGTAAATTCAGTATAAAACTGGCCTAAATAACCTTTAGATTTCAATATATGGTAAATGGATCACAAATTATTACCAATATTGTTACTGATCATCATCAGGCACTTCTTTCGATATCAAAGGATTTCTGAAAAGTAGAAGGTGTTGTTAAAGGTTTGATAAGGAAACAAATATACATATCCAGATCCAGCACATCAGCGGCATAAAATACTTGTCGGAGAAGTATTCATTTCCCGGAATATCCACATATATTCAGCCACTTTGCCTTAAAATCATTTATGATTTATATATTCTAAATGCTCCTGGCGTGATCATCGATGTATAATACTCTGGGCGTGATCACCACTAAAATATATATACACATGGGAAACTAAAATATAGGTGTCATGTATTGGTATATTCCATTGAAGAACTGCATTTAGCAAAGAAAACTCAGGATTTGTTTCTGAAAAAATTTTAAATTAGTATGTCATTTAATTTAACGGGAATTGACAAAATTATATTTTTAGGAAGTTTGTGGTCCGTATCCTTACCATTCCACATGGGCCTTAGGTATGTTCAAAGAGATGCCAAGCAAAGCAAGGAGTGCCTTGGCGTTTTTGACTGCCACGTCCCTAATCAAATGGGTACCGAGCTTACGTACGCACTAAAAGATTAATTAAATCTTGAATAAAATTGGTATTTGCTTAATACACCTTAACCACGTGTTGTCAGGCCTACAGACTTGGCATGTTCGGAGCGGACTATGTGTGGATGCTGCATGGAGACACAGATAGTGGACAGCAGTGGTGGCGTAACCAGACTATGTGTCCAGCTAGAAACATGGCCGCGGCTGTGGAGGGTCTCATCATCGTGTCCAGCCACAACACCATCGTAGGCAACAAGCCTTCTGTCTCTGGACTGGTGAGTCAAGCATAGCGCTGTTGAACTGGTTCAGAGTGGTTGAATACAGTCTCTTCAAAACTATTCAGCATTTTAAGACTTGCAATATTCATAGGATAAAATACCAAGAATTTAAAGTAGTAAAATCTTTGTTTTATCTCAAATTCAAAATATTCAAGGCAATTTTTTTCATTTCAATGGAACAGTTGAATTTTATTGAATGGAATGTTCAAAATACAAACACTATAGGTACTGTACTTTAAATTAATGGGTGACAAAAATTGATTTGCTAGATGTATCAATGAGAGTATGCTATGCAAATAATATCCGGTAGATCAATACGTATGCCAAAACCCTGTAGGCTTGGTATCTTACTTGAATTTTTAAGAAATGATGGTTACAATTAGAACAGTGTTATGAGAAAATGTAGTGTCAACTAAAAAAACAATTACCACAATTCTAATTTCTAGCGAGTGAAGTAAGACAGAATACAGAAGAGCTAGAAAGTATTGATATACTGGATTTTTCTTTCATTCATATTAAGGCACAACTCTCTATTCATAAGCAGTCTAATCTATGCTACGTCCTATAACTTGGATTTTAGTTTTTGACTCTGAGGTACGTTTGCTATAGTTATTTATTATGTCAGTTTAAATTTTCCCACTTTTAAATTAGGTCTTAATTTTTCCTTTAAGATGAAATTGCCTTCGTTGGGACGCCAAACCATTGAACCAACCATTCTTATCAACCAACTTTACAATCATATAAAAACCAACCTCAAGAAATTGCAAACAAATTAAACCAACGTAGCAGTCAAACTTATACAGTAGCTAAACACAAATACAGTCATTATTTTCCAGAATTTTAAATGAACTATAAAAACACGATTAAATATAATATCTTAGCCGTAAAACATCCACAGTTTTTCTCCTTCACTGGCCTAATGCACGGCTTGTCAAACCAAATTGATGACGGAACTGACTCGCACATCCGTCATTCATCCACAGGTGGCGCCCGTGACGTCATGAGCCTGATTGATCGTCGATCAGGAATGTGCACTCGTCGATCATGAAGGCATTTTTGTGTCATTTGTTCGCTGTGCGTGCAACACAATCTATACTGGACTGATCCCTAGATACATACACAAATATTACATCTTTATATTAAAGTGTAGACATATGAATTGATTAAATTAGACTTAGTAGACAATTAATGAGCTCTTTGAGTGGCTCATTTGACTCTGTTCTATTTTAATAAATAATTGGCCACAATTGGCCCATATAAATGACATGTGTACTTGCAGGACCGACCGGTAAATTAATGTCAATGATTATTTCCGAACTCTATTTGCTCAAAGTTTTGTAAAATGAAAACTTATTGCGAAAAAATAGTTCTGTCACTTTTTTGTTAAATATTTTCCAAAGAAAATTGTTCACCGATTTTTTAGAATAATATAGTGTCTCTTGGTCAAATTAACATTTTAAATTTTTTATCAAATTGTCCCTAGTTTTTTCAAAACAATTATAGTTTAGTAATTATTTGGTTAATTAAATAATATTATAGATATTTTTATAGGAACCTTTGAAGTAAACAGCATTTATTATTTTAAATATGTTTACCTACATCTAGTAGCAATCCAGTTCTATTGATTGTATTCAGCTAAAATTGTATTAAATTCAGAACTGCATTTTTCCAGATATACGTACAATATATAACTAATACCTACAAGAACTTGTCGTTGTTCTCAGATTTGAACCAGCTTACTTTGCTGGATGGAGACTTTAATTTAAGAACAACTTTGTATATTTGCTTCTAACAGCTATAAACAATATAAATTACTATTTTTACTTCGAGTCAATTCAAAATGTTCTGTTTGTTCCAAAACAAATATTTTACTCACTATAAAATGCTGTACTGGTAATATCAACAATTGATTGTTATAAAATCTATAACAGTTTCCAATTCATCAACATAGGACTAAAACAATAATGGTTCATAATGGGTGACAAAAAATATTCAATATAATCATTCTTTAAACCACATAGGCCGATACAAAACCAAATAAGTAAAATATCATATACAAATTTATTTTGAAATTGTTGAGTGTTGTATATAAATTGTGTGATACGTGTACACCATTTTATACATGACGAACATCAAACACAATCCCTTGTACCATATGTTGGAACATGTCAATGCTGTTATGAATAATTCATATACAAACCAATGTTGAAGCACTTCTGTCATCACTGGGGCTGTAGCAAAAACATTCAAACATCTGAATGCATAGGAATACACTGCACTGTGACCTAAAATAAAGAATACATTATTTCTTGCAGAGCCTGTTAATTTTACAAATTATTGTTTTGACGGAATGAGTATTTTTCTCCAGGGTTAAAAATACAATAATTTATATTTTAACCAAATATTTATTTTTCATGCAAATGTATTTAATTTTAAAATACATAGGTGAAAAAGCTACTGTGTTCTTTGAGCCAATGTTGCAGTAAATAAATAGTAAGTATAATGTTTTATTGTGTGTCTTTCAGAGAGAGTTCTCAATTACAGAGATTGTTCTCCTCACCTAAAAGACTTCTCCTTTAGTTTTGTGGATGGATAATTGACTAAAACGAAATGTGGGTTCCTAACCACCGAGTCTAGGTACTATCACACAAAAAAGCCATTGGTAATTGGCAGGGTTCGAACCCAAACCTTGAGGTCATAAAGCTATGCACTGAAATCACTAAACCAGCCACGCCCCTTGTCATAATCTATTAATCTACTGTCAAATAAATGTTTAAATATCTTTTTTATTCCCAATGAATTTAAAATGCCATAGATTTAATTTCTAGTATGATTTTTAATCTTAACAAAACTTAGTTAATAGACGCCCATTACCTTGTCAATAACCTAAAAAAACTAGATATTTTGTAGGCAAAATCATAAAAATTGCAAAAAGCCTTTGAACCTTAATAAACTTTTACAGCTTTAGTGACTGTACCATTTCGTTTAAAAAAAAGTATCATAATATACAAAACTTTAATCAAAATCATCTGAGCTGATTTTGTAAATTTCAAATTTTTATGTTTTTTTATTTATTTTACCTTAGAGATCACCATTAGAAATCAAAATTTTAAAAACTGAAAAAACGCATATGAGTTCCATGAATAAGTACCCAGATACCAAATCTCGTCGATGTCCATCCAGATCATCCAAATATATCCCAACACATTTTTGTATTCAGGGGTAGGTACGGATTCTCTCCCAAAACTCATCTTATAAAAATTAACGAAAACAATACTTTCTCCATAGGAAGGGAAAGTAATATAGTTAAATGACCTCTTAGCATATAAATAATATAAATAAATACAAACAATATGAGAATATGTTGCACAATTAAAAACAAATATTCATAAATCCGTCATTTTACACCCCCTTCAATCCTTGAAGCGATTGTAAAAGACCAGAACGAAAATATAAGCAAAATGGACTCTTGATTATAATGATTTTTCTTAGCTTTACAATACGATGTACTAAACTATTATATATGAGGAAAATATTCTTTATTACATCTTGGTGAAGATTTTTTGCATTCATTAAATGTGTTTTGTCACTTAAATTTATCAGCGAATGAAATGGTATTTTATCAAGAAGATAAATATAGTCCTACAACGAACTTTTCTTTTACTGACTAACGAAAAAGTTTTCATGGTAAGGTAGATTACATATTAACTTTAATGTTTCCAAGTACTCACAGACTAACGTATTATAAGCTACCCTACTCTCTTTGTTACAGAGAAATGAGAGGTTCCTATCATCACTACCAGCTCCCCACAGTAACTTTGTCCACCAGACCTATGATGCTGTATGGGCCATTGCTTTGGCTTTGAGGAACTCACACCTCAATCTCTCCATGTTTGATTACTCAGAGAAACACATGGCTTTGAGGCTGTTCAACGCCATGGCCAACCTCAGCTTTTCTGGCATATCGGTGAGAACATTCCGACATTTCTGTGACCTTGTTTGAAATCTTGTATGAAAAATGCGAAATGAAACAAAATTTGAACATTAGGTATCGTATGGATTTGAAATTTAAAAAATGAATATATTGAACTTTGTAGATATTGTGGAAAATAGATTTATCACTAGCTGTAATTTCCAGCGGTTATTTTATTATTTTTTTTACTGTATTAACATAACAAAAACTATGTTACGTTCAAATTAATTTGCTTTATCGTTAACTGGCAATTTGTCAAATTAATAAAATAAACGTCAACAATTATTTGTTGGAAAAAATAACATAATTAAATAAATATATAATTATTAGTAGGTGTATACTCGTATAACTGACAATTAACAGATTGAAAGCTTTAAACACATATATAAAAGTTCTAAAAATATGTACCACTTACAATTAAGAGTTTAAATAAATATTAAGGAATTTATCAATATTAGTTTCACTTAACATTAGGGAATTTAACCCTTTAAACCCCTTTCTCGAGTTTGAATTCGATTAAACTAAGGAGTTTAATTAAATTTTGTTTCTAAGATGACTGAACTATTTTATTCAATAGATGTAAAGAACTGTGTATTCTATTCTGTTTTGTGTATTCTTCCTTTTAAAAACCTGAGTATGGCAACTTCCAAATTATTGCTAGGCCTATGTATACATTTCAATAACAAATTGATAATGATAAAACAACAATTGACATAGTTGTTTATGGGGAAACTTTAATACGTTTTTGAACATTTTTAGCTTATACCTTTATGATATGCAGATAAATTACTGGTATTAAGTTTATGTGTCTATACCATAAAGCACTCACTAAGCACATAACATAGTAATTAAATCCTGTTATTACATCATAGTGTGCATTTTCAATTATACACATGACAATAACTATAAAGTTCTGCATTGAGAATGTCTGGAATTGTAAATGTAATGTGCTAATGAGAAACAGTAATGTAGGTTTCATTTTCATTTAATTCAATATTCATTAATTTTGTTGCACGGACAAAAAAATAGATTCTGAACCTCTATTACATCACTAAAACGGGTTTTGTTAAAATAAATGTAGATGTGCATAAATTGAAAATATTTTGTTCAGTCTATTATTTATTTTTCAGGGTCCAGTTTCGTTTTATGGAGCAGATAGAGTTGGCGTATCAGCATTCCATAGAGTTCAAGGTACATCTAACAAAATTAATTGAAAAAAAAAACTGCTCTTAAATCTAAATAAAATACTATAAAATATAATTATACAGGGTGACAAAAAAGTCTGGAAACGGCTTCATATCTTTTGAACTAAATTCGTTAGAAAATTCAAACCTTTCACATCAACTTGTTTGTATGAAAACTACTTTTTGCAAGCATTACCATTTTTTGACCTTCACCAGGGGACGGCCCATGAGGAGTAGGTACATAATCTTTAAAGTAAGCATAGGTTGATATGCACATCATTTTAAAGGTCTAGTCAAGTGGAGTTCATTGACGTTCAAAACGGCGGCTGTCCAAAGTTCTTGTGGAATATACCTGCACTCACAGGCCTTAGTATTGGTAAATACTCATAGTCAACATTAGCCGGGAAATCTGAAACCCGGTTAAATTTGTTTTGAAGATTGAATGATATTAGTCTATGAGCTACTTGATTTGCAGGTATATTAAATAAGAACTTAGGACAGCCGCCATTTTGTAACGGAAGAACCTTTTGAGACGCGGTTTCTGACTGTAAATACAGAATTATTTAGAGTAATTTGAAAATTATGATAAAACAGAGACGTTTGACAATCCTGAAGGATGGTTAGTAGTAACTAAAAGTTCCTTGAAGCAGGGGATTCCAGGGACATCAAGATGACGCAGAAGTCGCGCGCCGCATTCTTGAACCTGAGGTTAACTCTTATCAGAAATTGGCCCCAATTAAAAACCAATTAGATAAAATATATCAGAAAATCCCTGATAACGGAAAAGAGGTTGAGAATACGATATATTTTATCTTATTGGTTTAATTGGAGCCAATTTCTGCTATGAGATATAACTTCGGGAGCACGCAACTTCTAAGTCACCTTGATGTCACTGGGATTCCCCGTTTCAAGATGGTTCTTGTTTTAAAATACGTTTTGGTCTACATTCTTTAGAATCATACTATAATTTAGGAGATATATTGGCATATTGCATTACGTTTTATTTTTCAGTACTCCTTGGCTATAAAGGCTTTTAATACAAAATTGTTTGTAATATGACTGATTCACTTTTTGTTAAATAACGTGGACCTACCAAAATGTACATTCATTATAATTTGTACTAGGTGTTTTACTTCATGCCACTTCACTATGTTCCAGACGGGAAGGTGGTGCGAGTAGCGTTGTACGACCCGTCCACCCCCATACTAGACTTCCACTGTGCCGGTTGTGTCAGGATAGCTTGGCAGGGTGACCATGTTCCCATCGCCAAGCGGGTGTTCAAACTGCGGGTGGTCACCATCCAACCTGCAGCCTTCCTAATAGTCACATCCCTAGCTTCCGTAGGCATAACACTGGCCTGTGGCTTCCTCGCTTTCAACCTGTACTTCCGCAGGCTCAAGTAATGATGTTTGTTTCCTTGTTAGTGTCTATGCTAGTGGCATTTCTATTGCAAAGGCTTTTAAGGGAAAGGAATTTAAGCCCCTCAATTTTTTGGCACTTTTGACTGGTGTAAGAAATTGTAAGAGATGTTAAGGTAGAAAATAAAATAAAATCTTAAACAATGTTTTTACACAAAGAAGCGGGCCGTAGTCAGTGAGAAATATGTGCAAGTGTATACTTTACCAAGTACAAGGTGTACTTTTTTCTGCACTCATTTGCCATTCATACTTTGTTTTTCTTTTGACAAGAGTATATTGCGGGTACAGTAAACCTGCAGCTTTTTACCTCTTCTTTCTAAGGTTAAACAGATAAATTATTGTTGTAAATTAAAAATAACAGAATTGTATTAAAAACCCCTCATGTTCAGGTAAAAAAAAATGTTTATATAAATAAGTTAAATTCTTATAAAATTGTTCTTTTTGTTATAGTGACAAATTAATTAATTTATTGTCAATGACTAAAAAAATCCTGCCCTATCAATTTTCACCTCATTCACAAAATACCACATCTAATTTAACGTACTACCATGAAAACCTGACTTTCGACAAACGTTATTAACTTATGTCATAAAATATTATTAGCATGCAAATATTGTTTTCTTAAGCTATCCAGCTTGTTTTTTTTGTTGGGTTTTTGTTTTGTTACCCCACGAAAACCCTTTCTGTGGGCAGAAGGGGATCATGGAGTGTGAAGTCCGCTCTCCACTTGTCTTAGGTCATTGGTACCGTTTTACTAGAAGCAGAGCGTACAACCATTTAAATTGCTTCTCAGAACACAGCTCCCTGCATTCTGGGCCTAGGAAGACCCAGACTTTATTAATAAATTCATGTTATCCATGAGAAGGTCCATATGTATTTTTAATTGCAGGTACATAAAGCTGTCCAGTCCCAGGCTCAACAACATGGCAGTTGTTGGTTCCATCCTGGTATACATGGCTGTTATTCTGCTGGGTCTTGATCATAACACACTGCCTACCAAAGCTGCCTTCCCTACTGTCTGCACGGTAATCACATTTTTACTCAAACGAAACATTTACAAAATTTTGTTTTTAGTTATTATTAGTCAAACTATCCAGGCTTCTGTTTAGGATGATTACCCCCCTGGCAACCTTCAGCTTTGCTGACCCCCCTCCAAGAAACATTTTTGGAATTTACATAGGTAAAAAGTAGTTTTAACACTATACGGAGATTCAAATTATGACAGAAATTTGGGCATTGTTATGTTTTTTTAATAAGCTACCTTATTAAAATTATTAAGTATAAATATTTTTGTAAATTTGACGCTCCCAAAAATTTGGTACCACGGCAATAACGGTAATTTTCTGATTGTGTTCACAATGTTCAAGTATCGAGATATCGAGGTATCGAGACATCCCTAATTTTGCTACGGTTAGTAATGTCATTTGTTCAGATAAGGAGTTATTTTGTTACCTATATAAAAATAACTGTTAAAATTGAAAAAAAAAAATAAAACGCTAGTGATGCCAGTGATATCTGCATACGGTATTTATTTATTTTTAACACTTATTATTGACAATATGATTGATGATCTGAAACTTTGTTCTACAGCTGCATGACAAATTGCCTCTTGTCTGTAATGTACCATACAACTCCAGTAGTTACTTTTACCTTAATTAAGTATTTAAAAGATTTATCAAACCCTTACCTAATACAATTTTCATATAAAGACATTTTGCATTATAAATGTCAAATGAAAAAACTCACTCAAGATAATAGGTATAACTTAACACACAGAGACAGAAGGAGAGAATCAAGAGGTTTTGTTTACTGTCAAAACATATCAATTTTAATGATGTTTTGTTTTAGGCAAGGGTGTACCTACTGTCTGCTGGGTTTTCTTTGGCCTTCGGATCAATGTTTACCAAAACCTATAGAGTACATAGAATATTTACTAGGAGTGCTAGTGGAGTGGTGAAAAATAAGGTGAGTTTAATACATTATTTTATAATCACGCAATTATGTGTACTGTTGCCCAAACAAGTAAAGAAATTAATCCTGTTCTTTACCTTAAGTTTTTTGGCAAAGTGTTAAAGAACAAAACTTTTTTGCTATTTTATCATTCTCAGTCAGTTCCAAAAAAGGGTGAAACAACTATAGGTATCATATTATGAATCCATACCTACCATACGATTTTCTTCTTCTTCTTAGAACTATAGGATCCTATTCTTAAAGTTATTAAATCAAATAACTATTCAAATGGTTACTTAAAAAGAGCACAAAACACTATAAGACAGCTCATTCCTGAGGATCCAATATCAAGTAATCTTATGCTAAAGATGCTTCATTTCTTTATTTTGAGGTACTGTAGTTGGAAATAGTAACAATAGTGGCAATTCCAATACATCCTCATCCTAATTTGCTTTGTCATACTTTGCTGGATAAGTTTCACAAACAGGTCTATGTGGACGGGCAATGCAAGGATAAATTGGGCCGTCAAACCTCGAAACCTCTTTAACAAAAAACGCTGATTGTTTTATATGCTTGACAGCTCCTTCAAGACACCCAGCTGATCTCCCTGATATGTGTTCTGCTCGTAATAGACGGACTGATAGTCACATTGTGGGTCGCTGTAGACCCAATGCAAAGACAACTTAGAAATCTCACCCTGGAGATCAGCTCCATAGACCGCAGCGTCGTCTACCAACCTCAGGTACAGTGTTACCACCAACAACAAACTAAATTATGGTACTCTAAATGTGTGCAACCGGGTATTGAATACACTGTTTCGTAAAATGTTTGGCAGAACTAAACTTGTCATGTTGAGAAAGGATTTGGTTTATCTAAGAGGTTTGTCAGGTATTCCACAGCTCCTGGAGATACTTTTGCCATATTTGGGTTTGGGCTGAAATAGACTATTGAAAAATTTTGTTTAGAACAAGAAATCGTGGACTGGTTGAACAGTTTATTTTATCATATTTGTTACTTGAGGAGTCCAAGAAATGCAATTAATTGCTTATAATAATTATTCCTTTTCTTCATATTTATCAGTAATTCAAGTCCTACTAAATTTAAAAATATACAGGGTGCCCAGAAACTCTCTGGAACCCTTTTGTACATTTGTTCCTTATTGTCCTTAGCACAGAAAACGTACTACTATAACCCAGAATGCCAACCGCATGGTAAAAAGCATTAAGCGGTTTGAGAGAGCTTTGCCTGTCAATCCGTAGGCAGCGCCACCAGTGTTGCCATGCAATAGCATAGCAACGCTGGTGGCGCTGCCTACGGATTGACAGGCAAAGCTCTCTCAAAACACTTAAAGCTTTTTACCATGCGGTTGGCATTCTGGGTTATAGTAGTACGTTTTCTGTGCCCTTAGCCAGTTTGTTTGGCTTCTTAAAATCTTAAACGAAACACCTAAAGTGATCCTCATCTTATTTTACCCCAATGACTATGATAAAACTGTAGCAAGCTAGGTAAATATGTTCTCTCCAGTAACATGTTCTCTACAGGTCGAAGTATGCGGGTCGCAGTTCACTCACAGCTGGCTCGGAGCTCTGTACGCTTACAAGGGTCTACTGTTGATAGTGGGAGTCTATATGGCTTGGGAGACAAGGTAAGATTCAGAAAAGTTAAAAGTTTGAGTTTAGATTATCTTATATATAAAAAACTTTTGCAAAACTTATGACAGCTAGCCTGGCCATACAACTGGAACTGGAACAAATTACTCACGGTTGGTACAAAATGAAAGCTATTTTCCTGTAGATGTTCAGAATCTCTTTATAAATTAAAATAGGCTCAAAAATAAGCATGAAACATGAATTTGAAATTTGAAAGTTCATCGTGGCCCATTAATTGGGACGCTTGAGACGCACTGCATCGCACATGTAGAAGTACATCTTCTACAAAGTGGAGTACATCTTCTAAGTAGCTAGTACTCTTGAGTAATGTTTTGTCCCTTAGGAATGCATACTCTAGACTACTCCATTACAGTAAAAACAAACATGCAGCATGGCTTTGATTTTGCTTCGATTGTTTCCACTGAGAAGACTGCGCCGTAGTTTCAAGATCATACCCGTACACCCATGACTCATCAAAACTCACAAGTTATAATTGTTTTTAGAAAGTTTGGGTCATTCTGAATACATTCCATCATGTCTTGAGCAACTTCAAGCCAATTCCTTTTGTCCATCAGTCAAGTGCTTTGGGAAAAATTTTGCAGCGACTCTGCACACAGCCTAATCTTCTGTTAAAAATGAAATGAACTGAACCAATACTCTGATGGCAACTTCCTGTAGCTAGTTCACAGTAACAGTAACAGGTCCATCACTACAACTCGAACTGGATAGATAACTTCATTGTTTCGACTTGCTGTTGGTCTCCAAGAACAAGATTCACGGTCCACCGAAGTGCGGCAATCTTTGAATCAGTTGTACCGCTCTTTTGTCTGTGTTACATCTTCTCCGAAGGCTTGCTGAATCTTAAGAATCATTTATGCTAGGGTATCACCCAGTTTTTTGCAACATTTTATTAAGTATCGCTGTTCCACCTGTTTTGACGACGAAAAGATTTTCTCTGGACACCAGCGACCTGCGCTACAGGCTACACACCACTTACCTAAGTGGACCATTGAATGTATCCTCTGTTTCTTACTTCCCTGTGGCACTACTAAGACAACTTTATGTTCCCAGGCATGTCAAGATCCCAGCGCTCAATGACTCGCAGTACATCGGTCTAAGCGTGTACAGTGTTGTGATCACGTCGGCGCTGGTGGTTGTGTTGGCCAACCTTATCTCTGAGAGAGCGACTCTCGCCTTTGTTACCATCACTCTCCTGATCCTCGCCTCCACGACAACCTCGCTGTGTCTCCTGTTCCTACCCAAGATACACGCCATTCTACACCACAGGGACGCCACCGTCGACCCTGTCACCCACAGCATGGGGCTGAAGATAGAGTGCAACACCAGGAGGTAGTTATTAGGTTTATGAATGAAAATTGATTTGATTCTAGGTTGAAATGGTAAAAATGTTTTAAACGATAATTTTTCTCATCTGAATTTTAAATTTATGATTGATTTCTATCAGTTTGTTAAAGAACAGTGAATGGGAAATGCAAAAAGCAAATTGAATTAATTACTCTTTCTAAATAGTTTTCCCAAGTACTTAATTAGTTTTTTATGACTATTGTTTACTAGTAGGGTATCTATTTGGTGGAGAGTGATCTGGTCTAGTGGTAGAGTGTGTAATTTTGGTCCATGAGGTCATGGATTCAAATCCCACCAATTAATAATAGATTTTATTGAAGTAATAATGCTGAACCCGGAGGCCTCTGGTCCCTAGATACTTTGTTTGGAATATTTATATTTTCATAAAATATTTTGGAATCGGTTCTAAAACTTAGATTATTTGCTTGTTGCAGTCAACAATCACCATAAAAACACTCCACACCTTTCTTTATTCTGTGAGTGTTCTTCTTATTAACCGTAAAAAAAGGAGTACAAAAGCAAATTTGTATAGACCATTGATCATCGTATTACTACCGCTATATTCTGTATAATATAACATAATAAAAATAAAAAATGTAAAATGATAACATCTAAAACCAATGCCAATCACTCTTCCACATGTTCATGTTTCGTTCCACCCTCAGATTCCTCATAGACGACAGACGAGAGGTCTACTACCGTGTGGAAGTACAGAACAGAGTGTACCGGAGAGAGTTAACAGTTCTCGACAACGAGATTGCCAAACTGGAGAAGGCCTTGACCAGCGATACTTCACTGGCTGCATCTAGCTCTCACTCATCAGTCGTCTCACGCAAGGTAAACTATGATAAAGTTATCATACTGTTCAAAAGTTCAGAGTATACATGTGTTAACAGACTTGTGGAATACTTTACTAAGGAGAAAACTTATACTCGTGTTTGGGTTGAAAGTTTTAAATATGTTTTCCAACACATAAAATATTAATTCACTTAATTTAAATTCAAGAAAGTCCTATCACACAGTTGGCTGATGAAAATTTAAGACACAAGAACAAGTATGACACACCATTCTTCTTTCACTTACACAACAAAAGATTTACAAAGTAACTTTCCAAAATGTAAAAATTTTCAAGTTTCGCAAACGAGATTTCAAGAATTTGAATTGAAGAGTTGGAAGACTAGCATAGTTAATTCCGACTGTAAGATAAGTCGCGTTAGATGAGTAGGTTGATCATTTGGTAGCGCAACTAACAACATTTTTACATGTCTCACCCTTGGCTTTGTTTGATACATTTGAAGAATAAGGGATTGAAGCCCATGTGGCCGAACAAACGCAAGGATAAAATAGGTTGTCAATCTATTTTCTTTTAAAATTTGATAATTTTATCAACATTTTTATCTCAAAATATTACCCAGAAAAAGTGCTTTCGAATGGGATCAGTGGTTAAGTTCTAGCTACTCAAAGTTGTTGATAGTTGTTTACTAACAAATTAAAACCATTCATTAGTTTATTTAATTTTCTCATTAATTATGGTGGATGTAGACATAAACTGAGCTCAACACCGCAAAACATATTTTTAAATGTATAATCATAGTGCGTTATGATCAATTAAATGTAATATGCATGTTAATGTTTTGCCATGTACATGTTGGCTGTATTGTACTATCATGTTGTTCCGCTGCCTTTTGCTTCAGAGCTGAGCTTTAAGGGTAATCTTTGTGTTTTATTTTTCTTCTTATTAAGCATATTTTTTCAATTATAATAGAACGAATGTGTAAAGTTTTTATTATTTGCATATAACTTGCTTTTTAATATGCTTTAATGCTATATTTTTATCTCTGCTGTGCATTGGCACCCTACATTCATATTTTGTAAGTTTAAACGTTGCGGATGTCGAGAAGACAAACACCACACACACGAAGCACACAACACAACAAAGTAAGTAAGGTCTGTGTTACTTGAATGAGGTGGAAAGAGTGTGAATACAATTTTTTTAGACTAGAATATTGAAAAGATGGAGGATTTTTGTTGCACATTTAGTTTAGAAACAGCAAAACTATAATTAATTGAGATTAATTTATAAAAGATTTAAATGAAAAAAATCTATATTTTTGAAATAAAAACTAAAATTTAAATTTCCAAAACTGTGATAAAATATAAAATGAGGCTCGGGTATTAACAACTACACACAATAATGAACTCAAAGTTTAATTCATGAGAAAAACTCATAAGCAAAGTAATAACTAGTGAAGTAACCTTACCAAAAGAGCAAAACACCTTGACATAGATAATAAAATAGTCATAAAATAGTTTATTAGCAAAATAAATGTCTGTTCAAACAAACTATAAACATCTAGTAAATCTACTTTGACTTTTCAATCGCCAAAGCAGCTAGTTTTTAAGCTTTAAGGCATAAATGACAGAATGTGTGGTCTCATTTCTTAACATTTATATAATAAAGAGATCACTCATAAAACAACATTCTTGGATCATAGTAAAATTATCTTAAAGATATTGTTTCACTTTACAACCACACATTATCACTGCAAAGACTAATTGTCACTTCTTCAACACAAAGAACGTCACTTGCACCAAGCACGAGGTTTGCGCTCTTTCATAATTTTCCTTTAACGTTCATTTCCTGTGATTAGTAGAATGACTCATTTGTCTTACACAACCTTACTTGTGGAATGTTGCATGAAAGCTTGGGTTATGTCAGTATTTGTAGTGTATCGTTGGTGTTTAATTTTTAAACATAATTTTTTTTGCAGCATGAGGAATGATACTGATTTTTTTACGACAAGTTTATAATAGAATGGATAGTTGTGAGTTTTACTACGGATGAATTGTTTGTAAAATGACTAAAAGAAGTTTTTGGCATATGAAACATCTTTAAAAATTGTGATAAGTTGGATTTTCTCTCCAACACACGTTGTTTTTTTGTGTTGAGGTGTTCATTAGTCATTAATGTTGGAATGACTAAACATTGGAATTTTATTTATATCTTTTGACGAGAAACAACATTATTTTGATGAATTTCTGTGAGTTAATTCATCGTCAATGTTGACGGCCAATGTTTAGTAGCTCCATGCTTTCAATAGGCTACCACATAACTTTACTTTGAAATTAATATGTACTTTTTCATTTATTACTTAGTGTAAACAGTACCAAAAAATGTTCCAAACAATTAATACAATTCAATATTTGATGAAATTTAAGTTTAAACATAAATACTTGTAACACTAACAAACACAAACTTTCCAGGAGGATCTGCCGTTACCACGCGGTCCTCTGCCTCCGACCTCAGTGAGTGGGACGCTGCCGATGTTGCTGTTATCAGTGCTGCCACCTGTCATCCCCAGAGCAAGCTGGCCAAGCGCTGAACATTGCGTACTGGCTCACGGAGTCACCTTCAGCTCCGAGCCGAGACTAGAGGAGGCTGGTCCTTCCTCACCTCAGCTAGAGGAAGACTCGGGAAAACTTACTGTGTTCGGGAAACTCTTGAACATGTTAGGACCTCGAGGAACCTCTAGTAGGAAAACATCTTCAGTGTCCTACGGGGGAACAGGTACAGGGGGGATAGCAGCGGCATTGAAAACCCACATGGGCTACATAGCCGGTCTGGTGCCTAGCAACAAAAGTCGCTCCGGTAGCCTAGACTCTTCCAACACGAGTAGATACTGTATCAAACGAGACGATGACGAGGTGTCCAGAAGGATAAGTAGGATGTTTAAAGACGACAGTGACGAGGATTCTCCACAAACCCACGCTAGGTCGTCGCAATCTTTATCTCACAGGGTGTCGTTTTCGATTACGCACCAAAATTCACAACCTGTACTGAAAGTCAGGGGGTCGCCGAGGTTTCCTCACAGGATAGTGCCTACTTGCAGTTTGGACGCTTTAGAAGACAGGTTCAAGATAGACTCCAGTTTTTCTAAAAACCAAATCCAACCGAAGAACTTTGAGTCTTCCCGGCGCACAAAGTGTCGGTCGTTGGAAGACGCGAGTAGTAATATGGAGGATATTTCTCGATCAAACCCTCATGTTTCATCAGAAGCACAGGCCTCTTCCTAATAATATATTTTAGAAAATGTTTTCATTGACATTGTGAAGTTTTATTTTTGTTACAAGATGTATTTTTTATAAAACCTTATTGTGTTACTGCCTTTGGCAAATATTTGTAGAGTATGTTTATCTTACGAATAGATGGTAATAATACTATCGAGTTGTGAAAAATCAAAAATAAATTGTGCTAACACATGTCAAATTTTAGGTATTACAAATTTTAATAGCCTACTCTTGACAAACTATTTGATAACAAGATGACAATCATCTAATTGTAGTAAGTTATTGAACTTTTGTGTGATGAGCAAATAGAATATTAAACGTTATAGGCATAGTTAGGAATTAAATCAGTAAATCAATCTACGCACATCTTGAGTACATTTTAAGATGTTGGTTATTTAAAAACTTCTCAATATTTATGATGGTGTAACATGTTGATGATGTATCACATCAACAAGTTTTTTAGTAAAAGTATATAATTAACTATTATAAAACTAAAAAAAACTATAAACTTTATATTGCAACCAAATACCACTTTAGTTTAAATTTTATCCAATACAAATTCTAGTTGTTAAGGCATTGTTTGGATTAACAACCACCAAAAATTTAGTAAAATCTTGAAATAAAAAAAAAAACACTAACAAAGCTAAGCTATATTAATAATTTTAGCCCAGTTACAGGTAAAAACATTTAACTAAAAACTTTTCCATAGAATCATTTTCAAACGATTAAAGCTTCTAAAAGTTAAGAGCTTCTCCACCCCCCAAAATGTGTCCATACACCAAAAGAACTTTTACGAACAATTTTAAACTGTCATTGATTGCACTCCAAATCTAGTATGAATTCCTTGTCAGTTTCTTAGTTTGAGTACAAAAGTATACACAGGTTGGCTTAACATTCCTAAAACCTAATGAGTAGTTTGTGCCAAATAAATGAGACTGTCTAGCCCTTAGTAAGATTATAAATGACTTTTTTACTCATTGAGCAATATAAATGTTTGAAAAATATAAATGTGAATATCTTAAAAACATAGATCACTTTAGAAATTGAATGTTACCGTACTAAGAGTTGTGTTGTTTTCTTAAACTTAAACTTATTGTAATAAGGAGTTGCCAAATTGTAAAGGGTTTTTAAAACGAAATCCTATATTGTGATGTTACTTACATTGGTTCTTGTTAAACTGTCATCTACTAAAAAAATGCAATTTATTTTCATGGAAGTTATTGTATGTAAACCTTACACCCTGTATTTTTATTTTTATTTTGGAAATTTTGGTTATAAACAGTTCAAATTATAAATAATGCAATCAAGAGTAACAAAAGACAAATGATAGTAAGTATGCCTTTGCTTTTACCATGATATATTCATCTGCTCTATGTTTTTCCTTATGAATAAAAGTATTATAAAATGAATAGTACCAGCAATATGTACACTTACTTTCTCTCATTAGCTTGTCAACAACCTTTATCATGAGTAAGCGATGAGAGTAACTAACTATGATATTTATAGGTGAAATCACAAAAGCTTTTGAATCGTAATTTGTACACTAATGGGGGGTTGCACTATTTTGTTGAATTATAACCATATCAGAACTAGCTTTTGTAATCCATATTTCAGTTTTTCGTGGGTTTTTATGGGGAAATATTACAATATCTTTAGTTTTAAAGCAATGGGTGATTGCACTGTTTTGTTTAGAATTATGAAGACCATAACAAATTTCAATCAAAACCGGTTTTTTCAAAAATCTGATTTATGGGATTTTTAATGGGAAAATAACGTAAGTTACAGAAATATTTTTACCGTAATTTTAACCGGAATGGGAGTTGTACTGTTTTGTCTAGAATTAGAAGGATTATAGCATGCTAAATTTCTATCAAAATCGTTCAGGACGTTATTGAGAAAATTTGACTTTTCCCTTGTATCTTATGGGAAAATAGCATTAAAAATCCAAATTTCCAAAAAACTGAAAAAAACTCCTAGAGATACCATATGGATTAGTACCTAAGAAAGTTTTTTTAAGGACCAGCTGATTGTAGTCCTAATATCTTAAAGTGTTGCCAATCAATCTCCAAGTGTACATGGATTACATGCATAATAAAAGCACACTGGTTTGTGTTGTTAGGCTGGAATACTGGTGTGCAAAAAAAAAAAACTGTGATAAAGTAATAAGTATGCGGCAAAGTAAGTAAATGCAGCAATTAGCAGCTTTCTGTATTACAATCAGTGCAAGGAAGCCCACTTTGACTGTAGGGAACAAGGCTTCTGTTACACAGGAACTTTTATATCATTCAAATCAATATTAAGGACCATGAACAGCTTGATTATAAATCTATAAAGTTTTCCAATTGCCAAATTGTACAATTTAGGAGGAAAGTTAGACACAATTTCTTACATTTATGCACTATAACAAGTCAGGTACCCTGCACTACTAAAATCCATATGCTCATAAAACACAAACTTGCTTAAGTTTTTCTCTTGTTACAGTGTTTCCAGCATCAAAAAGTCAACTAGCTCTGATGCTGTTCTCTATTACTGGCCACAACATCAAACCCTTAATAACATCAAATTTTTCCAATACAGACAACTAACACAGTGTTAACAAAATAAATAAGTCAACCACTTAGTTTTCTCTATTACAGGGCTCTGTAATACAACCTGTAACCTGTAACGTCAAACAGCCAATAACCTCTTATGATTTTCTCCATTAAAGGTCCCTAGAACAGTGTTTCGAACATCAAACACTATACTATCTCTTCCACTTTTCTATATTACAGGGCCTCAACAATGTTTCCAACGTCAAACCATTAACAAGCTCTGATATTTTTCTCTATTACAGGTCACTAGAACAGTGTTCCAACATCAAACAGTCTACTATCTCCTCTGCTTTTATCTATTACAGGGCACCAACAGAGTGGTTTCAACATCAAATTATCAACAAGCTCTGATAAAATTTTCCTCTATTACAGGGCAAAAACAGAGTGGTTACAAAATTAAATTATCACTGATAATTACTCCATTTCTTAAATTTTATCATGAAGGAACTGCGGATTCTGCAAATACTTTATAGCAGTGGCGGCTAGCCCTGAGGGACTCTCGAGCGCCACACCCCCTACATAAATTAATTTTTTTTATTAAGCAGTTAAATTATTTTAGACAGTACTTAAAACAATATAAATATATCAAGTAGTTAGATAATTCAATCCAGTAATGACTTATTTTTGATCGTTGCTTGCATAGCAAGGAGGACGTGGTCGACCCAAATGACCCAATCCTTATACATGCAGTCTTATGGCAGAACAACAGAACAGCGCTGAGGAATGGCTTTCTATTCCTTATTACCTTAGATATTTTATAGAATAGCCTATAACCATTATTTTGTTAGTGTTATTTTCAGGACAGACTCATTTGCAGTCATTTTTATTAAGTTAAATACAAAAGCAGCCTTGAAAACAATCCACATATAAATCCAAAAATAATGAAATGTCGTACTGATCTACAAATCCATATATAAATCCCAAAGTACCCATGAACTTTTGAGAAAACTACAAGTAACACCCCCATAAACCATATACTTAAAATGTTTGTATACAAGAAACTTTGCGCAAAACTATCCATTATTTCATTAATTGCCCTTTTAAGGTCGTAATTACTTTCAAAGGGAACTGTCCATATAGCCTACCTAATGTTAAAAATACCTCAGCTGTACTTATTTGTATATTATTCTTTCAATGTATTACCTTTATAATAAGGTGTGGTTATTTGTTTGTATTTCTGTATTCTGTTTTGTTTATTTCAGCTTAACTTAACCAATCAATAGTTTTATTAATACTGATTTAGTCAAACGGGGTGAAGCCCGTGGGGAACATGTATTGTATTTGTGTTTGTATTACAAATACAAACTTTAAATTATTTCAATTCTTTGACAAATGTGATTAATTGTAGATTTTCCTTTATGTTAAAATATGCAGAGCCCGCCTACCACCTATGATCACCAGTCACTACTGCTTTATAGGTTATAGGGTAGCATAGTTTTTTTAACAAAATAATTTATCTACAAGCAGATATTTTTTCTATTACAGGCCACTAGCACAGTGTTTCCAACATCAAACAACAGGACACAGTGGCCCAAACCCCCTCCCACCCACAGAAGATTGTCCATCTCATCACTTGGTAGTTTTAAAATTTGCCAGTAGCTATCTTGTAAATATACTTTTATCTAAAGGAACGCCTAATGTGAAATATATCTGGAATCAAATAACATAATGAAGATGTCTAGCTTTTGAGGTATGTAAATTTTCTATATTGATACACATTATCGGAAAAAAAACTTAAATAGAAAAAAAATTCTTAATCTTTTAAATATTATAGTGAAAATTAAAATCTAAATCCCTGGAATGTAATACTGGTTTTGTATATCATACAAAACTGTTTCAAATTTGTACTCAGTTTTTCATTACTTTTGGATGACCCTTAGATGTATTTATAAGTTGTAATGTAAGATAGGTTTACAGTGGATATCCAATGTTCACAAAAATTTACAATACATTTTTCACAATTGTATTTTTGAAAATAAATGTTACTCTTTACCATGCAAGGATCTGTTTCATGTTGCCACCTTTTTGTCCACCAAATACAACTTGTCTTGTCCACTAGGTTGATCATCAAAGATTTGAACGCAAGAGACAAGGCACCACAAGTGTACCTTTCTTACTTTCCTTAGCAAAGTGTCTCTTTTATGGGACCAGTCGACTTGTTGACTGATTGATCCCCTGACTAAACATTCTTCTTAAATCTTTCTGGTATAATATTGTAGATAAAAATAAAAATAAAAAAAACTTGGATTACTTATTTCAGATGGTTCAACTGTCCGACAGTTGATTTCAGTCAGTCTTCGGTCACTGTATTTACAGTCATGTTACTGTCGAGAATTAATTTTTTTTAACACAATTTTCTATCAAAATAGTATTTATCGTCCATCTTGTTCATTGTTACAAACAGTACTAAAAATATAGATAGACACAATCATAAATAACAAAAATCCTTTTTTCCTAAATCTCAAAAACGTACGTCAGGTGTTCAAACAATCCGAAAATATAGGGGGAAAGAAATCTGAAATTGATGACGGACGCCAGCAGAGCGACTAGATAGACCTACGCCGGTTGAGTGTAGATAGCGCAATAGAAAATCTTTTAGACTTTTTTACTGTGACTGCCATAACTAATGTGTGTGAATTGACCTTTATTGATTTTAAGAAAATAACCAGATGTAAATTTGTAACTGCTTTCTGTAGGAGCAATCGCATACAGGTGGTACCACTGTCCTTTTAAAAATAAACTTGTTATGATGTTACACCCATACTTTTAAAAACAACTTCTTCCCAGAATTACATCATGAGTTTGTTAACTTAATGTTAAAAGGAACATTATTCTTCTTGTTGTCATTTCCTGATGGAGATCATATGTACTTTTATTGAATACACCCTTGAACAAATTATATTGGTCCATAGTAAATAGAGGATCAAACGTATGTTAATAGTTGGAGGTGACTTTAACTGTAATGTGTCAGATTTTGAGAGCCTGTTTTAGACTTTATTATGCCTAAATCTCTTAATCTCTACTGTAAAAATGTAACCATACACACAACGGTATTAAGCATGTTTAGACAATATTGCAACAGACTTTTCTGCATCTGAGTAATAAGCAAGTCTTGTCCCGTGCATTAAGTGACCATGATGCGCTGCTGTTTGATAAAACTTAATCCTATTCAAATATCACACCTGACTTGAATATAATAGGCTGGTAAGGCCTATCCCTAGGAGAAAAGTTTTGTTACCATTGAAGCATCTTGATTTTCACATACATGTTATTAGAGTCAAATGACAGCTCAAAAACCAGACAGGATTAGTTTCACAAAATCCTGCTGTACCAATCAAAATCTGTTGTTGAATGTTAACGAGGAAAAAATAATGTCAAGTGTGTTACTAATGGTTTCTGTCTTAAAAAATATACCAAAATTTAAGCTATTTGGACTTCATGGTTTATTTAGTGAGTAATTAACTATATTTATCATATTTCCCACATCTCACAAAAAAGAGAAGTTTACAAACATAAATTAACCCTTTAAAGAAGTTAATTGTACAAAACTGAAAGGTCGATTGATTACATTACTAGATCATGAAAAAGAAAATGAAATGAACTTGAAGTGTTAGCAAAATCTATAGAATGATTCTTCAAATACATTATTTTAAAAGAAATACTACCAACAGTTGTTTCATATTTTATAGACTGTATACTTTAGTATGGATTGTAAGAGGCAGACCAAAAACTAGATTTTACACCAAATCAACCATTTATTGAAACTTACTACTTCAACTTTACGCTCTTGCTGACGCTCGCCTTGATACCAAAAGGTTCTCCATCGTAGCGCTTGATCTCTTTGTAGACTCCACGGACCTAAAAAAATACCAATTTAATTAAACAATCTTTCATATTAATAAATTAGCGTATTCGATGCTTCTCAACTTGATCTCTAATATAATGGAAGCTCATAACATTTTATGCAGATGAACGACAGGAGAGGGGCAAATGATGCGCTGATCACAGAAACTCATGATTTCACATACTTTATTAAGGCTGTGTTTCAACACTTTCAAATATATAAATTATTTCCTTAGCAACTGTATGACAATGCACTGTGTTATAGTGTTACGGGAAGTTGTTTAACAAGGATTATAAAATTTTTAACGTTAACTGAAATTCCCCATCAGCCGACTCTGACTCTAAAGAAGTTCTATAAGCCTACTAAGACAAAAATAAGAAATCTCTGTCAGAGTTATGTCCTCATAGGCTTTTATACTTTATTTTTTACTTTTATAATCTTATACTCTATATTTTTTTGGTAAACTACTAAACTAGCTGAACTCTAACACCACGCTCTAAACAAATTATTAATCTGCCACTTGGCTTCCCCTTAGTATATTTATGTTTTTATAATTGTTTACGGAAAGTGAATACAAGATACGTCTTATAACACTTAAAACATATATTTACGCTTATACTGTTACTCACAAGACGGTAAATATACAAAAAAGATGGTATGTGGTGATCGATTTTGATTTCGGTTTCACAATACAGTAGAACCATGATTACAAGACTCTCATGGGGATTGTAAAATAAGACTTTTTATCAAGGTTGAATTTTATTGAGGTTTGTCATAAAATGTGATTAGGAGTAAAATAAATCTAAGGGGATTTGAAAATGACCATCTTTATCAAGGGTGACTTGATATCTAGGGTCTTCTTATCAAGGTTCCACTGTATATTTTTATTTTTATTGTTTTTACAAATACACCTGAACTACCAGGGGCAAAAGAAAGGAATCTGAGTTTACTTTAAGAACTAACTGAACTAAGAACTAATTAATCAAAATTAATGTATAAACAAGGAAACATAAATTTGATCACATAAAGTTGTTTTAGATTATAATGCCACAATAATAATGCTAGTTTAATAAATCAATCATTCTTACTTGACCCTTCCTTCTAACTGTTGCTTTGCGGAATTTATTTTTATTTTTGACACGTGGATTCCTGTTTTCTTTCTTTCGCTTTGGAGTGAGACCTTTGTTCTTAGCAATTTCATAGGTGATTCCTCTTTTCTCGGTGTCTTCTAAAATGGTAATGCCAATTAAGTATTATTCTATGAGTTTTGTTTCACAGTTTTATTTATGACCATGACTGTTTATTTTGTAATTGATCAACTTTTCTAATTCATTAGTACAACCACCTGTACACAAACATTTAGTTGACTTCACAGACAATTACTTTAATCAGACTTAGCGATTTGTTGTACCAAAAGTTGGATGAGCGCTCAAACAGACATTGGACATTCATGTATGGTCTACCATCAGAGAAATATGGCTGAATCAACACCACGTAGGCCTATTATTGTGTACCAGGGAACTCTTTAACTTACTAAATAAGTCTGCACATACATTTTTGGAATGTTAATTACAAAATGTTAAATATGTTCAAAGAGATAACTTACACCTAAATGTGGACAATAGATTGTATTGTTTATATTGCCTAAGTGTCCGACTATGAATCAAGATGACCTAGTAATCACTGATTACTAATCAGTATAAGAAAAGTTGGACCTAATTGGTTAGGCCCGTGGATTTTTGTTTGTGAAGGGTAGATCTTCTTTTTGTATATTTTAGATTTAAATTTTTACATGAAACACAAGTATTTCTCAAAATGAGTTTATGGCCTAACTTATTTTCCTTGGCTCCAAGCTGAGAAAAAACATCAACATGTACATACACATAATATATCAATGTTGAAAAAATTTATCTTAGATAGTTAGGTAATTCAGATAGGTAACCTAAAATATTCAAAACATTTACTGCTATATTTCTCCATAGAACATCATAATGATTGTACAATAAGAGATACATACCATCTCCTTCTTCTTCTTCTTCACTCTCTGGCTCGTTTTCATGAAGCTGAATGTCTTCAAAACTTTCAATTTTAGGTTTTTTAGCGTTTCTACTATCCTCCTCTTCCTTGAGAAGTTGAAGTTTTCTTCTCCTCTCCGCCCTAAAATGTTATTTAATAATGTAGTGGTAGTGATATTCTCAAATTATGTGTTTTTCACAAAGTAGATGAATGTAGTAAAAACATTTTATTACTAGTCTTGGAAATGAATGAAATTAAATAATATTATGATGTGGGACTGCTTTTACATGGGGAAAAATCATGGAAGACTTTTAAACCTTTTCATACCAATATATCGTTGTTTTTTAAAATCTCCAAGGGATATAGAGAGGAAGGTAATTTTAACAAAAGGTAGCAAAATGGCTATTAGTGACCTGCATGTTCATAGGATAGGCCTACACTAACAACCACTTACCTAAAAGATTCGCCCAATCCGAACTGTAACTGGGCCAGTACTGGGTTATCCTGGGCCAGTACTGGGATATTCTGGGCCGGTACTGGGTTATACTGGGCCGGTACTGGGTTATACTGGGCCAGTACTGGGATATTCTGGGCCGGTACTGGGTTATACTGGGCCGGTACTGGGTTATACTGGGCCGGTACTGGGTTATACTGGGCTGGTACTGGGTTATACCACAGAAAACATACTACTATAACCCAGAATGCCAACCGCATGGTAAAAAGCATTAAGTGTTTTGAGAGAGCTTTGCCTGTCAATTGGTAGGTAGTGCCACCAGCGTTGCCATGCACTCAGCATAGCAACGCTGGTGGCGCTGCCTACAAATTGACAGGCAAAGCTCTCTCAAAACACTTAATGCTTTTTACCATTTTTTTGTTATTTTTGGAATAAAGAACTTATGACTTATGACTTATGACTTATGACCATGCGGTTGGCATTCTGGGTTATAGTAGTATGTTTTCTGTGGGTATACTGGGCCGGTACGGGGTTATACTGGACCGGTACTGGGTTATCCTGGGCCAGTACTAGGTTATACTGGGCCGGTACTGGGTTATACTGGGCAACCTTAAATTTGGATTAAAGGTGTAATGCGGAATAAACTTGAATAAGTTCACGAACCAGCATGATTCGACAATGGAAACGGGGCTTTACAGGGTGTTAATTCCTCATAGATAATTAAATTAATTAATTGTTAATCCCTTAGAGATAAAATAAAAACAACGATATATCGTTGCATAGCACTGAAAGGGTTAAGAGTTTTAAGACATGTTATAGTCAGTAGGCCTAGTTGTAAAATCACAAAACTATTAAACAATCAACAATGATCACATGTATTACCTGTTCCCTGTAATAACAGGAGGAGGTTGGACCGGGGAATGGATGATGTTCAACTCCTTTCCTTTTCTTTTGATTTTGAGTATTTCTTTAACCTGAGAAAACAAAGGAATAAAGTTATTTTTTTTATTTATTTCACTACTCAAGTTAATAAACAAGTAGCAGTAGAAGGAATGGTTGAAGGGGCAATAGAAAACATCCTTCAGGTGTGAGTCAAAAGTTAGCCGTGTTTATTGTGGTAGTTAGAGGTGTGCTTTAGTAGCTTAGGTAGTAGAGCCGCTCCAATAGCTCCTGTTGCGGAGCTAGCACCACAAACAGCTCCAGCCCTGGCTACCACTTTGGTTACTTCGATTACCTTAGATTCAAATGCACCCTAACTCAGAAAGAAAAAAGGTAATGTGAACAATTCTGTAAAAGAGTAGGTAATAGTTAACACAGTAGACTCCCTCATATCCCGACTCCTCGGGACCGAGGCAAGTCCGGATAACTGGTTTTCCGGTTAAACCGACGTCCCCAAAAACTCGTTAAAACAGACCATTTAAATACATGAGCGTATTTCACTTAAATTTAGGAGAACATTGTATTTCGACATGTGGTCACTGGCCTCAAATCATTCCCACGAGAACAGTCGTTTCAGTTCCGCCCACTTCCTGCCGATCTAGTCCGCTTAAACCAATATGCTGATAAAAATTGTCCGGTTAAAAGGTGTCCGGATAAGAAGGAGTCTACTGTAGTATATTTCATCACTAGGGTGTAGATAAATGTTAAAAGTGACTTTTCTTCAATCCAAGCTAAAACTTCCAATGGGGTTTCAAGGAAAATTAGTGAGGGCTGAAAAGCACTTTTTACCCGTGTGATGAACTAAATCTTTTGTCAATTTGCAACATTGAAAAAGAAAACTAATTTACAAAACAAAAATAATTGACATGTAAATATAACCTCTCATAACAACTGCCAATTTTGTTTTCACTTTTGATAACAGTAAAAAGCAGCTGTTTTGACTGTTTTGAAAAGCACCTTCCCTTAACAAATGACCTGAGAAGCCTAAAAACACCCCGGGCGTCCTCCCCTCAACCAATTATCTAAGCAGCCTAAACACCTTGAGCATTCTTCAACTAACAGAAGACCTGAGATAGCTTAAAAAACATCCGGGGCGTCCTTCCACCATTGGACGTGTTGTGGCAGCCAGAACAACACGGGGATGGTAAAATTCAACTCAACTCCATTACAAGTGCGCTGCAATCCACGATCAACTAATATGTGTTTTGAAAAGATGTATTGGATGAATTTAAAGATATTTTATGCTCCCTTAACTGTTTTATATTCTTATAACACCTTATCCTTCTACGACTATGATACAATTTTTCGATTGTAAGTTTGTCTCAAAGTCATCAAACCATAAAACCTCATGGCAATGAGTGAATTATATTGGATCTATTATAATAATTTTTATGTATAACAATTTTTGGTAACAGTTAAATAAAAGTGTGACGAGGTGTTTCAATACTTCCAACACCAGGTGTTTTAATAAAGGGTGCGGCAGACAGAACTCCCCGATTTCTAAGGCTAGCGGTAGCGAGCAGCGGTGAGGTAGAGTGGTGGGGGTTGTGTCCTTGAATAGATGCGTACGTGCCGTTTCAGTGTACGGCTTGGTCAGGGCAGCATCGCGCGTTTGTGGTGGAGCAGTTCATTCAAAATGGCGGATCGCCTATAGCCACTCAACGCTATCTAAAGTCTAAGATATACGAACATCGCCCTCAAAGTTTGGAAGCCTTCAAGGAAAGAATAAGGCATGAAGTTGCAGCCATCTCACCCGACATGACCCGAAAGGTAATGGACAACTACCGGGAACGTTTGAACCAATGTGTTAACACTGGAGGCCGCCATTTAAATGTCATTTTATTTAAAACACGATAATTTTACATTATCGATTATTAAAACGACATTTTATTTAAAGCAGGACTATAATTTTATATTTTTTTAAATGGCATAATGTGTGTTTTTGGTTAATAGCAATAAAAATGTCATATCTTGTAGGCCTACTTGGTTTTGTTTTTATTAGCTTTCCTAATAGAGGAGTTCTTTCTACCGCACCCTTTACTACTAACACCACCGAGTTTCCTGGCCACGGTTTGTTGTTGGTCCTTGTAAAAACCTTCCTCTGTGGAGAACTCCTTTTTACCCTGGCATTACCTGATTTTCTCAACTGAAAACCCCTCCATGACAAATGATAGTACCTATCAAGATCCAAATCATTTTAATGTATTCACTGGATCGGTAAAAATTTCTTTAGCCATGACCTAACTAATTTATAAATAAATTGAAAAAAATTGAAGACTGACATACCTGAGGCTGTATTATTTCCTCATCTATTGGGTCCATTTCATCTAGAAGTTTACGAAACTGGACCAATCTTTTGATCACAGGATGAGTTTTCACCCGGGATCTCTTGCTTTTCAGCAGCAGATAAAATGCAATATTCGTGCAGTAACTGTAATTATAGGTTATTACAGTACGTTCACAAGAATATGAAACAAAATTATAGTGAAATAGAAATAACTGTAAATAACAAGTTGATTGTAACAATATATTCACTAGAAGGTAAGCCATAGGAAACAAAGTAACACCAGGGAAAAATTACCAGAAGAAACTACCTACAGTTATGAAAAGTAATCAATACACTCTTTTCACAGATACTTAGTAACTTCACACACTTCACAGGTACTTAGTAAATACCATACTTGTTGATACCAGTTACTCAAAAAAAATTTATTATCGTTATACTTAGTTGTAAATAAATAAGAATTGTGGATATTCATAGGCATGATCTGTGGATGCGATACTCCCTGGTGTGAATTAACATCCGCACTCGTGAGTACTATGACTATCCGCAGTACCATCCTGATAATTAGACCAATTTGTAAATTACGAGGCCAATATGTGGTTTGGATTCCACTATTAAACTGTTAATAGTTAGCTGTATGGGCTATTGATTAACAGTCCTGTCTAAGGAATAAGTAGGCTACAAGATCGCGTCACTCATCCTACACTCATCTCCATTCATACTTTGTTGAAAATTACCTTTGTATGGTCATTTGGTCGCCATTTCAATTTAAAGTATTTAAGTAAAGTAAAATACAGGGTACATAGAGTTAACAAAAGGGAAAGGTTTTTAAAAATTACATCGAATTAGTCAACAAACTACTAATGTACTAATTCTAAATAGTAGTAGTTGGTATACCCACTTACTTCAGAATGAGGTGGTACTTTGTTGATATAAACTTGACTGCCTGACATTGGGGAATTTCTCCTGAGTCCACCATATTCAAAATTGGCTCTAGATTGTCTTTGGCATAAGTCATTCTTTCTGAAATGTATATTCACATAATTATATAGTCACTTATCCTTTCAGAGAGTCCAGCAAGCCATTAAAACCCAATTCAAGGACAGTTCCAGGTTTTACAGGTTCCAGATTCGAAATTTCAGGGCACAACTTACTTTAAAAAAAAATAAAACTAACTTAATGTTAATAGTAAGTGTGCATGGAAACTAAATTAGGTAACTCAAATCAAAGAAAAAAATACATTTACACCAATAAATTCACTAGCATACCTGTCTTGAGTTGCAAAATATTAATCGTTAAATACAACACCAAATAGTATTCCTAATAGGCCTATTAGCTTTAAAACTTGTTTCATAGTTTTTCTTATTTACTTCATCAGTGAATAAGGTTGTTAACGTAGGTATGTATAAGAACATTCAAATAAAATTAAATGCTCTTTTTTTTTTAAAGAGGTTGGCGGCCTCTTTTAACCTTGCATTTGCCCGTCCACATAGACTAAGCGCCCGTGCGTGGATCATTTACAGCAAAGCAAGGAGTGAGCCGGTACAGTACAAAGGTGAACTGTACTGATAAAATGTTATCGGCAGTGACCAGGATCCGAACCCACGACACTACTGCCTTGGGCCCGAAGTCCGCGACGCTACCGACTGAGCCACCGACTCACTAAAAAAAATACATCTATTCTCTATATCTCTATTCTCTTAGATAAATCTTACAAGGGATTTTGTTTCAATAGGACAAATATCTGGGAAATTCTATAGGATAGTTTCAAAATTTTATGGAAATAACATACAACCACATTAAGGAGATAGGCCTACTTCTAAATATCAAGAAGTATATAATATTTATAGTTCCACAATTATTTCACACATTTATCAAACATCCAGGCCCGCTTTAGTAATAGGTCTGAGCCTGAGAGGTTTTTTGGGTTTGTTAGGGGTGCACAGAAAAGAAAAATGCCCGAGGGAGGGGGAGAAAGTGTAACTATCTCTTGAGCCCATAGACTCTATGAGTTATTTTTTTAAATCACTGATGTTTGTTCTGTTAACCAACACTTACCTTTAAAATCAGATACTAGTCCTGAAAATTCTGGAGACTCTTTTTCTAGAAGTGCCAACTTTTCTCTCTTGCTCAACTTGCTTACATCTGTTTTTATTATCTCACTGAAGTCGTCATCTTCAAAACTTGCACCTTTTTTGTTTACCTCAGAATTCTACAAAAAAATTTTTAGTTACAAAATGAACAATTTCGATTAAATTAATTCCCAAACCCAAAAGGTAGACTCATAAGTAGTAGTAGCTGGAACAAGCCTTGTTTGAGGGAAAATCATTAGTATTGTATGGTCAGAATGCAGTTTCGCTCAATGGAATTCATCTAAATGTTGTTTAGCTATCTATCTGCAATCTTAGCAATCTATCAATCGATGAACTAATCAATAAAGCAAGCAAGAATACCATATATTTACATTTTAGAAAAAAAAATTTGAACAATATATGTTTACATTAGCCACAAATATCGGTGAAAGAGGATGAACTGACTGATTTTCAAATCAGTCCCATAACTTCTTAAAACAATAGTCGATGAAGGCAAAATATTAGCCTATATGTGTTGTTTCATTTAATATTATTTTCATTGATTTACTAAACTTAAAAGTGGTGTGTGTTGTAATCAAACTCACCTTTGCTGGTAATATCCCAAGAGAAACGTCAGCTTCATCCAACTCAGCAATCAGACGATTCTGAATGGCTCGTGCTTCTTGTTCTTCTAATAAAGCAGCTTCCTCTTCTTCAGCTTTTGAAAATCCTACAAAGGCATTGACAACTTGATGGTAAGTATTTAGGGGCCTACATTTTTATTTTTTTTATTGCTTTATACGTTCCTACCTACTATCTGTTAAACCCGTGTGCTTCATTTGACATGGATAATTTGTGTTTTGTTTTATTACTACTAACTACCACGATGAACCTGTTGAAGCTAGGCCAAAAAACTATACAATATGAGATTAACATTTAAGTTATAACATAAAAGTCTTATGCAATGGCTCAACATTGCTTCTATTGCTTTTAACTTGTACATCCATTGAACTCTTAAGACAAATGTTTAACCAACATATCAGCCTACCTTTCATTGACTATTCTATATGCAATTGGTAAATAAAGCTTTGATTTGATTTTATTTGATTAAAAAATTACAATACCTACTTTAAGGCATTTTGTAAATGCAAAATTTATATTTTGGTAATATTTCATCTCTAGTAATTTTAAGAGTTTATTTACGACTAACACAATTTGTTTACTTTGTAGGTGAACCAACAGTGGTTTTCAATGACTTGAGACAGCAGGGCGGTGCACAAAATGTGCAAATAGCACCAATACGCGAGCATGATAAAATGTTATTATATTTGCCTAGCCTAATTTGTATTACCGTATTAGCCTACATATTTTAAACTGTAATCATAATATCATGGAAATTATACATATAGGCCACAAAATGTATAAGTTAGCTTTACATTCCTAGAACACTGTGTAGAATTCTATATACTACCTCCATAGTCCTGATCTACATAGTCGGTGTTGTAATAACTCTTCTTCTTGCTGCCCCACGCCTTGGAGTCAGGTAGATGGTCATCATCGTCTTTGCCTTCGATATCACTGTCCATCTCTTCACCCAGCGGCTCTCCCACGTCCACATCATCTTCATCTTCATCTTCTGACTCATGAACACCAAGAACCTCTTCCTGTAGGAAATAAACACAACAATGTTATATAGAAGTAGCGTTAGAACACCTTTACCACATAAGAGTTCTTAGAGTGAAGAGGGGTTTACATTGTTTTTATGATTAAGGAGAAGGCCTAAATGGTAATTCTAATATAATAATCAGAAGTCCAATATTTTTTTTTACTGTACATTTTGACACTCAGGTCGTTTAAAATCACAAGTAAAATCAAACAACAAAACAAGTAAAAAATCTATCGGTCTAACTTAGGGCCTGCAATGAGTTTTTGGTAGAACACCAACACTTAATCTAAGTGCGTCATTAACTAAGCCTTCATGTTTTCTGTGGGCCACGATGACCGCATAGTAAGTTAATCAATAAACCTAACCATTTTTTATTGAATAAGGGCGGGTTTCCGAGCTCGGGAATACGTAATCCTGGAGTTACTTAATCAGTGAATAAAGTTAGTCATCGAATAAAAAATTGGGTTTCAGAGCTCGCGAACTAACTCCCTAGTCCGCAGACTAGTCTATTCGACGACTAACTTTATTCGCCAACTTCTGGACTACTTATTCTAGGACTAAGGTAGGAATCACGGGGAATTTTAGTTTTTGAGTGGTGGTAGGGGCAGCGGACAGACGAATTTAAGACGATACCTGCCAAAGTTGTTCACGGTCAGCGCTCATAGCTACATTAGTGTCTACTCTCTAGTCTGGTTCTAATCACTTATCAGTTGGGATAATGATTCCTTGAGTTTCACTGAAGATGGTAACTAAAAGAAGTTATCGTGTTCAAAAACGTATGCCGAAATAAAAAACCCAGTTATGTGAACCATCATTTACAAAAAAAACCTGAAGGTTTATTTATTGCTGTTAAGTTTGATAAAAAAAACTTCCCGATTGAAGAATAAGGTGTCAAATGTGTTAGCCTATGCCTTTACTTTGTCCAAGTTATTTTTTTATGAGAATCTAAAAACTGTAGGCATTTGAGATATTAGAGATTGGTTGCGACTTTTTTTGTAATCCTAATGCAAACCCCAATAATTGTCTATTTAAGGTCTTACAATTATTTTGAAATGAATAGCCTACTGTATGATAATCAAAAAATAAAGGGAAATATTTTATTATTCTTTGAATGCAAATCAACCGTAAAAAATTATCATTATTAGGGCCTACAACAATTTGTTGGTTTAACGCTCTAAGAGTAGGCATAGTTATAATTTATCTGCTTAGAATGTATTTGTGTTCTCTGATTGTTTTGTATTTTAACAATTCATCTGGAAGTACAATATGTAGTAGAGATTAAGTAGGTGTCCAAGCAACTTCAGTTAACTTCCAATCATCTGAGCTCCGGTTATCTGAGACTCCAGGTTATCCGAGTTAGCTCACGGCTGAAATATTTGTTATTTAACCGAATTCCAAATTATTATGCTAGATATGAGTTTCAATTGAAAATAATACTAATACAGAAGTCTTTTTTCGTTAGGCATGCTGTTAATTTTGGTTAAAAGTATTCCTTAGTAAAATACTGCATTACACTACTATCCGGACTCCTCAGTGCCGAGGCCAGTCCGAATAACGGTTAAACCAACGTCCCCAAAAACTCGTTAAAATGGACCATTTAAATGGATGTAACCATATGTAACATTATGTACCGCGTATTAAATACGTATTTAGATTTGATAGGCCCTATATTATTTTTTTCATACAGTTAAGTTTTTCTTTCTGTCTTCGTTATATTATTATTTTAAAATCTACGTTTAGTACCTTATAATATTAATTTTAGGGACCGTTTGGCCTATTATAGTCTTGAGCATAAATTGTAGATAAACGGGTTTCATTCAAAGATGATTTTGCATAGGCCTACTTAAGAGAAAAATAAAATTTTAAGGAAAAATATCAAGAGGAATGAAATTGCCAGTAAATTTTATGTTGATTAAGAATTTGACATTTATATAGATAAAACTTCACAAATTGAGTACTTACGCCAAAAGTTAAGTTAGTCCGCCCCTTAATCCTGCCCTCCACCTGGACTAAAAATTGCTCATATTTATTCCTCGAGTTAGTCTTTGTTGCCCAGTTGTGGATTAGGCTATATATTTGGCTCCGAAACCCGATCGAATAACATTTAATTCGATGATTAAGTAGCCTGTGACTCCGAAACCCATGAGAGTAATTCAGGGACTATGTAACTCTCGGAATAGACTTAGTCGTCGACTAGCGTAATCCTGGAGCTCCGAAACCCGATTTTTTAGTCCTAGAATAAAAACTGGTTTGAACTGGATTTTAGTCCAGGAATAGCGTTAGTCCCGAGCTCCGAAACCGGCCCTAAAAGATTTAAAATTTACAAACTCACGAAATACCATGGGTTACTCACCTCTGATTCATCACTGTCGTCAGCTTGTTTAGATCGTCTTTTAGCAGCCTGTTTTAACATTAACCTCTCAGTGTCATTATATTCATCATCCGACTCAGAGGGTTCATATTCATTAATTTCAAGGTCTAAATCTGCATCTTGTTTCTTCTTTCTAAAAGTAATAGGGAATGATTAGTTACAATAAAATATATATTGTTTTAAATGTTTTATCGTGCAATGTGTCATCTTTTATGTGTATTTTTATTTGAATGTTCTTGACGAGTCTACATTGAACGAAACATTCTTGAAGGACCACTTGACAATGCCTATGTATAGGCGAAACATGAAGTGGATTTGACCATACTATATTGAATTGTGGACGTAAAGGTATAGTAGGCCTACCGTACCTTAAATAATAGTAAAATTAGCCTATATTTTCACTGTAGCTACCATAGTAGGCTATACGGAACAATTAATTAACATTAAGCTCAATAAATTGTTTCCACCTCAGATATTGTTTGGACTGAACATAAGTGTGGAATACAAATAACTACGATACCGGTAACGACAAACTCCACAGACAGACACAAGAATCCTAACAACAGATGAATTCACAAGAGTGTCTATGTTGCTGCGGAGTGTGGGACTGACTGATTTGGAGCAGTTGCTTGCCCCACAGTCCGCTGCGTAATTGGGCAGCTAGGAAAACTATGTTATTGCGCACCCAATCCTATGTATTGAGTCAGTGCCAAACACCGCAGCGTAAAATCGTAGCGGTAAGTTAAGTTATTCGGCAGCTAAGAAATCGGGCTTTTAAGTGAGTTTCATGATGCATAACATAGTAGGCTAGTTACATAAACCTGATAGGATGACGTCATCAAATAATAGGAATAGGTATCCTTACCTATAGGTCTATAGGCCTACCTTTAGCCTAATATGTGAAGGCAATTTCTACGAAACACTACTCCTCCGTTAATAATGGACAGATTTTTACAAACGAGGTGTACTGGTAATAATTAAGTATTTTTTGTATAGACATCCCCCTTTCAACAATTCTTGCAATAAAAGTCCTCGGGCTTTGCCCCACAGGCCATCAAAATCCCAATGTAAGTTATTTCTTATGAAGGAAAGATTTTGTTAAGCCTACTTACACAGATGAATAATTTATATTATAATAACAGCTGTTCATTATACACACAGGAACGTTCGTTTTCAGAGTGAGTAAGTTTTTAGTTTCAATAGGCCTAGCTGGAGTGGAGTGATTGATAACATTATCTTTGAGTAGACTTTTATTAAGTCATCGGAAATTATGACTGTTATTAGTTTTGAAATAATGCCTGTAATACTTAGCAATTGCTCGAATTCGAGCATCAGGAGCGCTAGTATTTATCTAATTAGGCCTAGGCTAATTTTACTGAAAGTTAGGAAATAAGATCATCGATCTCATAACTAGGCCTAATTTGTGAGTAAATTTGAATAATCATGGCTCAGCTTTGCCAAATATGGGTACACTTCCATATCTGTTGGCATTCACAACCAAATGAGTAATAGGTAGGCCTACTGTTCATTCGATTGTTTAGCCTAATTTGATATATGGGTACAGTTTCTTAACTGGGCTATGCTAATATCGATTGAAACTATCGATTCGATTAGTAAACTTTCATGCGATTTTTTCACCATCAGCAAGTTTTGTTGGTTAGGATAGGTTATGATAGGCCTAGTTAAATTTTATAATAGATATACCGTATTTAAAAATATCGATTATTAATCAATATTTTCAATTCGATAGTTTCCATGGATATCAGCGTAGCCCAGTTAAGAAACTGTACCCCGATATATTGTTTGGTTAGTTAGTTAACCAAACGATATAGGCTATCGAATAATTTGATATAGGCTATTGATCGATATTTTCATTCGGTTGTTTGTGCCAACAGGTATGGAAGTGTACCCCCAAATATTACTAACAAAAATCTTAGAACAAGATCTGAAGTACCGGTAACGCTAAACTAGCCTAACTTATTCTAGCCTATAGCATAGGCCTATAATACGTATTGATACCCCTCCAGTTCTCACCTCGATTGTTTAACCATATTTATAAGTGTCCTTCAAAAATTACAGTGCTTACACAAAAATAAATCGGTCTGAACGGTAAGTGTATGTACCAAGAGCATAAGCACAAGACTCAAAACTCAATCGTCAATTAAAATAAATACAGGCCAAGAAGAAACAAACAGACAATTTAAAGGAAGAATCAAACATAACCTAATCCTAAACCTAACCTACTCTACCACCATATGTTTGTTTACAGAAGAAGAGAAGGATAAGAAAGAGCAACGTCACTCATCAGTGTCAGCCCCCTTGGTTGGCGTTATTCCTTATCATGCAGCTTCTAATCCTAACGAGCCACAAATACAAACTTAATACTGTAATTATTTAATGTCAATACTCAATGATTTTACTTAATTGCTAGTATATAAACAATTTTTGTTTTGTTTTTTTCATTAGGTGTATAAATATATAAGTTTTTAGGCGTACCTACAGTAGGTAGTAACTACCACGTGAGGACGCAACATACAGCTGTCCGTGTGAAAAGCATGCATTTTCTAAATTTAAACCGACGATAGTCATGAATTAATTATAATGGGAAAGAAAGACACAAAGGAAATTGTAGTTGCTTTAAAATGCAGAGGGTAATTCGGATGAAATCATCAGTATTCTTGGGATTAAGACTATTTCTCCTTTAAACTTACCACTGATACTTTTTGATTCAGTCAATTTTGGACTTTTGGTGTCATTTTTTATCGTCCAGTCTGGTAACGTTGCACAGCTTCGGTGGATTTAAGTTTCGCATTAGTATTTTAAAAAATTACTTATTTAAAAATAAATTATTTTTCTGTGCTGCACTCTGTAGAAACATTGTGGCACTATTTAAAATCATGACTAATACAGAATGTTGTGATTATTCAAACCTACAAAACAGTTTTCGAGTAACAGCTAGTTATATTTATTTGTAAACATTGTAGTTCAAAAGTCTGACATTGGCCCACTTAAAACCCTCTGGGGCGGAGCCCTTTTGACGGATCTGCACAAAAATTCACACAAACCATCCTTGAATAATGGTTAATAATGCCTGAGAAGTTTCATTACAATCTGTCGAACGGTTTCGGAGTCCATAAGGTACAAAAATATATACTACATTCATGTATACATACATACATACATAGTTCCTCTTTTTAGATATTGATATAAAACCTAACCTGTATAGTCTAGAGAGAGAGAGAGAGAGAGATACATTGCAAAACAATAACGTAATCATATTTTCTGACTCTCAATCAGCTAATGAGGCAATAAAAAACATAGTCAAGCGATGATATTGTTAAAAAAATAAAGGATCTACCAAGTTTATGAGAGTACAAAGCCACCGAAATGCTGGGTACACTGTAGTTTCTACTCCACTGAGTGCCTGGTCACATAGGTATAAAAAAACAACGAGATGGTTCACGGCCACCTTTAACTGTTGATGCGGCCGTTTCATAACCGTATCACATTGCAGCTTAAAAAATTAATGAATATTTTTGGGGAATTTTATTATTTTTTATTATTTGTCTATAATTTGAAGTTGAAATACTGGCAGGCTTAATGATCTGCATTATAAATTAACCCCCTAGGGCGTGGGGCAGAGCCCTAAAATGAGAACGAAAGGGTTAAGCTATTTTCCCATAAAACCCATTAAAAACAGAAAAATGGATTAAAAAACCAGATTCTGATTGAAATTTGTCTGTTGTGATCCATATAATTCTAAACAAAATAGCACAATCTCCCATTTCTGTAAAAACTACGGTATGTAACTTTTGTGATTTTCTATATATATCATACTTATAGTAACGCTTATCACTTGCCCGTGAAAAAGGTTGATGACAAGCTAATGGGAGAAAGTATGTTTGTCAGATTGCTGATACCATTTATTTAAGAATGCGAAAGCTTGGTTACGTGGCTATGCCAAATATTTACCCCATTTTCAATGCACAGAAATCAATTTCCAATTTATATTGTTTTGCTTTAAAACACTATATTTATGTTTTATTTTATTTATATTTATTTACCCTTTTAGCATATTTATATTTAAAACTTTAAATTTAAATTAATGACTAGTTTAGCTGTGGTAAAGATGATAATTTATTGTGATAGGGTATTTCGTTGTTCTGTCTTTTAAGGACGGAGAATTTTCCCGCCATATAAGTGGACAGGATACCGTGTTATCAGTTCCGGTAAGGCAACTGCGTATTGTGTTAGTTTTTTGATAACACCCGCGTTGTTTTGTCCTGCCTGATAAGTGATAAGCGCTATCACACCCACTCTGACACACGAGGACTACGGGGAACATGTGAAGTGATACGGAAACTCGCGAAACTGATAAGTGAAAAGTATCCCGGTCAAACCGAGCTGTGGAGCCATAGTATGTCATAAATACCCTCGACGCAGTAAACCTACAAACTAAGCTAATTTACCTGGTTGGATTTTCAATTAAATCTATTTAAATAACACGAGCTGGTGGCCCGTCCTACGTACGGGAATCGAGTTGTCAACTAAAACGGAATAATTCAGAACATCTAGTTTACACGCATAGACAAAAATTCTGGCAGTTTTAATGGGGAAGATCACCTTATAAACAAATGCAACGTGACCACCTATTTATTCCATTCGAATATAGACCTAAGATATGGCGATATGCATTTTAAATCCGATAATTTTACCATAAAACAGCATTTGTGTCTCTAAACAGCACTACAGAACTTGAGACTTTACCAATTCCTGGAAAGGTGGCCGTGGATTGTTGTAAATTTGCCAAACCGGTTCAGGCAGCTAGATTGTGAATCTTTATGGATGTATACATTCCTCTTACATATTTCAAATCCCACAGAAATAAGAAAATACCCCCGCCACAGCAAACCTGCCGACAAAACGAATTTCTATTTGTCTGAATTGAATTTTCATTAAATCTATTTAAATAACATTAGGTTAATTGATTACCTTGAAGTACCTAGGTTTGCTGCTACAAGGAAACTAGGAAAGTGTGTTTTTGGTAAAATATTAATAGCATAGTATAAAATAAATAAATTTGCCAAGTTTGATCAAAATATATCAACAAGCAAAAACTACAACATTTTACAATATCCCTTAACAGTAACATAACTGTTAAATAACTTCTTGATCAGCATCGTATGTGTTATTAAATTTACAGAAAGTAAATAAAAGATACGTCTTATAACACTTAAAAAATAAATTAACGCTTTTACAGTTACTCACAAGACGGTAAATATACAAAAAAGATGGTAAGTGGTAAAAGATGGTAAAAAGATGGTCGAGCACTTACCATCTTTTATGTATATTTACCGTCTTGTGAGTAACAGTATAAGCGTAAATATATGTTTTAAGTGTTATAAGACGTATCTTTTATCGACTTTCCGTAATATCCCTTATAAAAATAACATGAGAATTTTAAATTTAATTTTTTTTTGTCACTAATAACCGTACAAAAACACTTTTATATACTATATTTTTTGTTTTTTAAGATCTTTAAAAATATCTAAAGAGAAATTGAGAAATTTTGTGTGTTGAGGGCCAAAAATAAAAAAAAAAAACACTTTTTACCCCATAAAACCCCCCGTAAAACGCCGTTTCCATGGTCTGATCGTGGTGGTTTGCAAACTCATTCAGGTATATCCCGCCTTACACCTTTACATCAAATGTAATCAAAATCGGACAAAAAATACTCAAGTATCGCGTTCACGGACGTTTATACAGTATTAACGCTTTCTACAAATGTTTTTCCGACTTACCCATGTGTATCTTTACAATTATGATAAATAATATAGCTTTCATGGTACCTTTTTGTAAGTGTATTTATATTTTTGATCTGATATAAATTTATCAAGTGATTAATGTATTCATATCTTGAGAGAAAGGAACAGATAGAAGTGGTTCAGAAGAGAAATAACTTTTAAAGCAAAATCAGCTTCACAACGTGATTTTTATATCAATTGCTGACATTATTGTGAGATGGAATATGTATCTTTTACCTTCGTCATTGTTTTCAGGTGCCACACATGAGTCTTTAATTTGTTCAACAATTCTTCTAGATCAGTTCTATATTTTCGCGATAATTTTACCTGGGTTACACATTTGTTAGCTTCCTGTATAATCGGTTTCTTGTTTCAAGATATACACCACGTTTTACGATCGTGCCGATTAGGACCGGGATTATGCACACATTGTTTATGTTAAGTTACTATCAGTGCAGTTAAAATTGTTTTAAGTATAGCTAATATGTTTTTGGAAACAGTTCACAGCCTTATGGTACTAAAATAAATAGTTCGCTGAACTATTTTTAAAAAGGTATAAAATAGCGGGTCCAATTAAGGCAGTTCTTTTGGACTTTCAAGCTCAGGTAAGAAAGTTTGTTCTGTTTTGACAATTAATAATTTAGCTTTCTATGCAATCATACATTCCTAAAATGCATGTTTATTTGATAAATATCTAACGAAATCTTCCTGATTTTATCAAACTTGTTCCTAATTAATGAAACTGTAAAATTTAAAAAAAACGTTTTGACTAACTATTCAGATCATAGGAAATCCTAACGTCCAATTGAGATGTTTTTAAAATGTATCAATATTTACTTTAATTTATTTTTTTAATCCCCAGGATTGTATACGGACTGTAAACATTTCTTGTATGGTTCTCTTCTCAGTTAGAGTGTGTTGGTTGTTTTGGTATATAAACTTTATTAAATATGTTGAAGCAGTGTATAACATATTACATGTATCATTCAAATAAAATGTGTAATTTCTAGCCTTGTCTAGAATGGCGACATTATGGCACTTTCTGTATTTTCTGTTGATTGTGGCGCTGTCTCAGTCAGAGCTACAGCAGAACACAATGAATGAAATAGGTAAGCTAAGCTTCTTGATACAATTTCTTTTTTTCAGTATGATAATATTTTTGTTGGGCATCACTCACCTTATTGAAGTCACGAGAACGTAGTCCTTGTCATGTCACAATCATACACAGTTCATTGCACATAAAAATATACAAAAATAAAAATAAAAATAAATCCAAATTTAAAATATCAGACAAAAGTTCTCAACACCAGATGATATTTTAAATTTGGATTTATTTTTATTTTTGTATATTTTTATGTGCAATGAACTGTGTATGATTGTGACATGACAAGGACTACGTTCTCGTGACTTCAATAAGGTGAGTGATGCCCAACAAAAATATTATCATACTGAAGTATTGACCTCACCTAATATACCATGTAGTTTAGGAATACAATTTCTTTTTGTGATCCATTGCATTTTTTAAAACACACATTCTGAATTTTACATTTCAATAATTATAGTTTACGTATAAGTAGTATAGTATGAACATATTATATAATTATACACTAGTATACGTAGAATTATATAAGTTTCCTTGTTTCCATTTTATTAACGTTATTTCAGTTAAGTTGTTTGTTTTAGACCAGTTTGGCGAATCACAGATGAGTTATCTAAACATAGGAAACCGAATCAATGACTACAAATATTATGAACACGAGTATAAACTGTGGCCTTTAGGAGTGGTGCCGTACACTTTTAATGAAAAAGCAAACTTCAGTAAGTAATATATATTTTTTAAATTTTTCTCAATTAAGCTTAAAGCTAAACACTCTACCATAAAATACAGTTTTATATGTGGACTTGCTGTTACCCGTCGGCCTCACCCGATATAATTTTGTGTTTATTACTACCATTGAGTATTAAGAACCCGCTGGGAAACTCCAAAGCCACTGGGGTGGAGCCCGAAAGTCAGACAAGAATAAAAACAACTTCGTGTTCCGATTTAATGTCTAAAGAGTCAGTATACCTAATTTCATCACTCTAGCTAGTCTGGTAGTTGGAGAATAAATGATGATTCAATAATTGAGTGAGTGAGTGGTGTATTTTACTTTATCTTTGGATTGCGTAGAATGAAGAATTGTGTTATTCTTTTCCTAAGGTAGTTGAGTTTTATCTCGATTCCTGTCTGTGTCTATCGGTGACGCCCCAACTAACAATTTACGCTACTCGCTTTAGAAAACAAGGGCATAGATTAAACTATTGTTCCAGTACTTACTAGATCTTTGAAAATGCCTACTCAAACTTGTGATATCTTGTTTATAAAATTATGAAAAAAACAGGTTTGCGCAATATTGCATATGTAGGTTATTTCAACACTGTTAGAACACAGTATAATTGTATAAGAAGTAGCCTTACTGAATATAAGATGGAATTGTATAAGAAGTACCTCTACTGTATTGTGAAAGAATCTTTTTATCGACACATCATGTTCAATGTATATTTATTTATTTATTTATTTATTACATGCACGGCAAACACAAGAGAGTTGATTTGAGATTGATAAAAATTAAATGTGACTTAAGTGAAATAGATTATAGTGCGATCAATAATTAAATATTAACAAATATGAAATGATAATAAATAACATGAAATATGATAATATGAAATACGATAACAGCACAGTTTTGATGAATAAATATGCATGATTTACAGGACGTGAAAGCTATAGTTAGTGCGTTAAAATAACATTCAATGAAAATAAGCGTATATGGGATTGGTGTATATATGCCTAACATAATTTAATTTTAAACCCTAAAAAAATATATCTTTATTACCTCACTACCTTTAGCTAGCCAGTTCATAAGTTTGAAAGGGTAGATTTTATATTTAAAGCGTTTATCAGTATACACTTCCTGTATTTATCAAGGTATATCAGACAAGAAAATAATTTTGGGTGCGATGAGAATAATTGAGGATGTACTATTATCTCGCAAGATATCAGACAGATGGTGCCAAATAAAGTTTGTGCCAAAAAAAAGTTACCACAAGGACTATGTAGAGATATTCAACAATGGTCCTGGAAAATGTTTTTCTAATATGGGATACGTAACAGGAAAACAGGTCCTCAGCCTTGGAGAAGGGTAAGTAAAGATTAATAATTGCAGAACTAACATCACTGTAGCTTACTACTACACTCTGCACTAATGTCATGAAGAACCTTTGACGAAATGCACTATTCACAATCACATTCATGATACAGAAACAGACCTGGCATTCATATTTTAAAACTAGTTCAGGATAAGTGTAGCATTAAATGAGGTGATAGGTGATCTGTGCATATTTGTTAGGTGCTAAGTTGAGCTGTTAATGTTTCCTAATGGACCATAAATTTAGAATGCCAATGATCAATAGCTGGGTCCAGTTTCCAACCATCAACAAGCTACTGACCTCCTAAAAGAAAAAAAATAACACTTGCCCCTAAATAGTTATGAAACTAAATAGTTCTTTCAAACCACAATCATAATTTTAGTCAAGCACCTGTTTTGGAACCTATTCTGGTTTATTCCATTACATAAAATATATTTGTGAACTGTAATCTTAAAAGCTCTTTAGTTTAGCGAACACTAACAACAGAGAGATTAAATTTGTCCTGTGAAGACTTTGAAAATTTGTGAATGGATGTTAGCCAAAAGTGATGTGACATCATGCATTTAATGTATTTATATTTCAGATGTATAGACACGGGTAACGTTATTCATGAACTATGCCATACTCTTGGAATGGTCCACGAACATCAAGCACCTTTTAGAGACAATTACGTTAAGGTGCACTGGGAAAACATTAAAAAAGGTTCGTCATAGAAATAATTAATATCTTTATTATCATGTTTGGCATGTTGGAAGTTTACAGTTGAAAATGACTGATACATAAAGCGAAAGAATACCCTTGTAAAATATCAATTATGATGCGTTAAAACTAAAACAAAATAATAGTCTGGCTGTTTGTTTGGATTACACTTATAAGGAAATAGAAAAATGGATTAGGGATTAAATATTTACTACATGAAATTCCAGTAATCTAATATATAAAATTCTCGTGTCACAGTGTTTGTCTGCAAACTCCTCCGGAACGACTTCACCGATCGTTATGAAATTTGGTGTGTAAATTCTGTAGGTATGCGAATCGGACGTAAACTATTTCCCGTTTCGAAATTCTTAAAAGGGCTCCGCCCCAGTGGCTCTGGAGTTTCCCATGTTAACCTTATGAGAAATGGAATTAATGAATCTTAACAGCTGTTTCAATTAAACAAGTTGGTTCTGTTCTATGATGTTCAATAGCATTAAAGTTACAAGGATTACCAACAGGGTGCAGCACTATTATTTCTTTTACATTTATGACAACAGCTAATTTGCAACCAAAAGGTGAGTGAGCGTAGCGAACGAACTTCAACCTGGAGGCGAGTTAGCGTAGCGAACGAGCTAACCTGAAGGCAAGTGAGCGCAGCGAACGAGCTCCAACCTAAAGGTGAGTGAGCGTAGCGAACGAGCTCCAACCCAAAGGTGAGTGAGCGTAGCGAACGAACTTCAACCTGGAGGCGAGTTAGCGTAGCGAACGAGCTAACCGAAGGCAAGTGAGCGCAGCGAACGAGCTCCAACCTAAAGGTGAGTGAGCGTAGCGAACGAACTTCAACCAGGACGTGATTGAGCGATGCGAACGAGATCATCTTGAAAATTAAACGTAACGGTACTTTCTTTCCATCGGTCTGTCTTAGGGGAAACCTATAACTTAGGCGATACGAAGTTCGCCGGGTCAGCTAGTCTATATATATAATTCCGTAAGTCAAATTTTTGTAAAGAAATTGTGAGCGACTGGATGGCCGTAGAAGGATGGGAGGGGTCTTATTTTAAAGGTCTTGACGTGAATTTTGAGGGAAAACTATTCATTTTTCTTATTTTTTTACCATAAATTCGCAACAGAATAAAACTTTTCCCATTAAAACAACATGGGGTTTAATTTGAAATTAAAACAGCTGTGCCACAGATTTGAAAACAGTGATCAATACACGCATTTGGTTTACAATTCTTTTTGTCTATGCTTTTAGCCAGTCAACTATGAAATGTATACTATAATAAAACTGAAATATTGAAGATTAGTCGGAAAAACGTCTGCATTCTTTGTTTATATTTAAATCATATACTCAAGTTTCATTTTTTCATGCTTTTACGTTATTGTCGTGTTAAAGGAATAAACGACATAGAATAAATATTCTGTATAAATAATCAAAGAGTCTAAATTAAATCTAACTTCTGTTTTGTTTTTATTTTTAAATCATATGTTCAAGTTTATTTTAAATGATGTTGTTTTCTTTATATTTCTACACATTTTAAGGTTAAGGTTGTGTGAATATATAGAACTAAAATAACCTATAAATGTTATTGGTTCTAAAATGGTGCATTTGCATTCCTTCGTAAGTAAATCTTTTTAGTGCAGTGAATATACAACGTAGAATAGTCATATTCGATCATACTTTTATAAAATCACCAGGGATTCAAGATGTTTTGGTATGTAGGCTGCTGGATATATATTCTTTTCATTATAAGTACTGTGATTAATATGAACGCCAGGGGAATACCACAAAGGCGGGGAACTGTTCATAGGAATGACAGTGCGCGTAGGAGAGCAAGAGTAGATAATGACGAACTTAATCAAGATATGTTACAACCCCTTTTTAGGAGACCCATGGTAGACGAGAGAAATGTAAATATTCATGATGCAGGATTACTGGACCAAGAGTGCATTCAATGTAGTGCTCTTCATTTTAGAGAAGAACTAACGAATAAGCATTTTATGACATGTTGCCATAACGGACTTATTAACCTTCCTCAGTCAAAAACTAATGTAGAACTTAAAAGTTTGTTTGAAGAGAGCCCACAACTGTATAAATTCATTCGACAATGCAACAGTGCGATGGCTTTTGCTTATTTTTCAGCCAGTAAGAAAGATATTCCAGGAAAAGGACCATACTGTTTCAAAATTCAAGGACAGATTTATCATTCAATCTCAGATTTGCTGCCTCAACATGATGAAGACCCCGTGTATGGCCAATTGTACATTATTGACACATCAACAGCAACAGAAATTCGTCAAAGGCGTTGAGAAAATAGTGACTTAAAACCTGAAATATTGTCAAAACTAGCTGAAATTCTATTAGAAAATCCATTTGCCCAAATTTACAAAAGAGCTTCGGAAGAAATGGTTGTACAAGGTGACAGTGAATTAGAACTTAGGTTTGTAGACAGGATAAATATGGATCGTCGTAGGTATAATAAGCCTACTGCAGATGAAATTGCAGGCGTCTTCAATTCATCTGAAGGCGAACCTCCAATGAATTTTTAAAATTCCAAACAGGGAAGCTTTTATTTATCCTCATTAACCACAAGACCAAAGCTACCTTAGTAAACCAGTATTTATTCACAAACAATGATATGTTTGCTACCTTTTCATGTTAAACCACTGGAGTGATTCAAATTATTTATTGAAAATGACATCAACAAAAGCAAACAAAGAAGAACAACAAACTGGTTTTTACACAAAAGATATGGTGTAGGGATGCCTATTCTGACACATAGATAATGTTATTCTGAGTTTGTTTAAATACCGGTATTGCAAAAAGTTGTTTTACATTTGAGCTTTTTAGGGACTTATGTCCCTACAAGCCACTAGTTACTTAGTACTTTGTCATTTCTTTTGTTTTTACTTCACATCACAAACAGTAGGATGTTTATGTCATTTAAAACCTGTTGATTGTAAAATGGCGAAAAAAGAAATACGATAAAGTAGGGTTGTCAACCTATAATGAGATAAGAAGATATTTTGCTTGATTATCGCTTCTTTGAATTCAAATACTTAGCACGACGTAGTCGTCTAAAAAAACCTGTACACATACGTTATAAAACATTACACTCTTAAGTCTAAGTACGTTTTATTTATATTCATTGCTCTGAATGATAACACCTAAGATATTAAAGGAATTAGGAAACCTTAGATTAAATTAATTATCTCCTCCATAATTGATAGTGATTATAAGTCAGTGATTATAATGGTTTAATAAGCGAAGCTTATCAGGATCATGTATTACTATACAAATAGATAGTGTTATCCTGATATTAATAAACAATTATAAAGGTCATCAACTTATTATGAGAACACAAGATGTACATAAATAATACACTGTATACCACTACCGGTGTATCATATACAGGGTGTTTGGTACTCAGTGTGAAAAAAAGTTTTTGGTGTAAGTACAAAGTAAATGCAGTATGATGATGCATATAAAATGTCCCAAGTCTAAAAATTAGCTTCCCAAAGAATTATTTTATGTTTTTCAAAAATAACTATGTTTTTAAACTTAATACAGCTATTTCTCAATTACCTGTAAATGGATTTGAGTAGACAATGACACTTTCTTGTATACAGGGTGTGAGCAAATGCAATTGACCAATGTTTTTTGAATTTTTACCAAACATCTTAATTTTTGTCTTTGAATCTATTTACGATGGAGTTTTTACAACTGATCCTCTGTCATTTTGTATTATTCTTATTCAAAATTTAATGTAGAACACGAAAATGACATTGTCTACTCAAATCCATTTACAGGTAATTGAGAAATAGCTGTAGGCTATTAAGTTTAAAAACATAGTCATCTTTTAAAAACATAAAATAATTCTTTGGGAAGCTAATATTTACTTTGTACTTACACCAAAAATTTTTTTTCACACTGAGTACCAAACACCCTGTATATCCAATGGTATGGTTATTTTTCTATAACTGATGAGTGATTTTTTAATGCACATGATACAGTAAACTTTGGATTTAAACTGCAGATAACCACAGATAATCTCTAAATTAATACTAAGGCTTATCATGGTGGAAAAACCTTTGGGATCGGCAATGCAAACTCTCTAACACTATCACTCAATAACGGCTGGTCATATTTTAGCCAAACTTACCAAGTTTGTTTCGAAAAATGTTTAGAATGTTTAAGATAAAACAGTTTTAATTTTTTTATAATGCCTAACAGGGTGTTCTCAAAGGGCTGTCACAAACTTCAGAGACAGGTAGTACTCATCAATCTGAACAAAACAGTTCATATAGACATAGGTCGAAACAATTTAGATTGATAAAGTTTTAGATTAAATAAACCACATAGTTGTGAAAAATATTATATTTAATTACATTGGATCAGCTCTCTGAAATTGTGGAATAAGCAATTTGACAGTTCTTCTTGTTTACATCGAAATTCCAGGGCAAATTAATGTAAACATTGTTAATTTTCTCCTTGCAGCCATGGATACCAATCAATATTTACTTTTAAAATCCTCACTTCAGAAATTTTAAAGCCGAAGGAGCAAAGCCCACGGTCAGTATCGAAGTATGAATAGTCCTATGACCATCCTTGGTATGGTAGCTATACTTGTTTAAAGTTTAAACTCAGTCAGGTCAGTAGTTTTCACATTATAGTAATACACATACAGACAGACACCATTCGATTTTTGTATAATAGTATAGATGAAGATTAAACATCAATAAACTGAGTACCAAAGTAAAAATTATGTATTAAAATATTTACTGACTATAGTTTTGGCTCTAAGGCCATTTTCAAAGTGTGACCATTTTTGTGACTTTGAAAATGGCCTTAGAGCCGAAACTATTGTCAGCTAATATTTAAATAAATAATTTTCACTTGGGTACTAAGTTTATTGGTGTTTAATCTTGATTTATATATAGCAGCCTTATTATTCTATTTTACATATTCAAATAGTATATATATATATATATATATTTATATATATATATGTATATATTAATATATATGTATATATATGTGTGTGTGTATATGTGTGTGTCCGTTGGCGTGATAACTCGAGCAAAAATGATCTGATTTTGATGGAATTTGGTTCTTATGTGTAAACCTACGTTTATTCTTTTGCGAACCAGCATGATCGGACTATGGGAACGGGGGCTTATAGGGGTTTTATGGGGTAAAAATTACTTTTTATCACTCCTTAACGAAAGTAACTATTTTCGATAACAGCTGACATCAATGAAAGTTGTTTAGTTTGTTTAGTACTATCAGCCCCTGAAGTTTGTTAAAATTAACTCAATATTTTAAATATTTAACTTTTAAAAATTATAGTTGTTATTTGGTCTAGTTATGTCTAAATACGTAATGTAATTATCTAACAACTATTTTTAAATATCTGTTAAGACATGCTTTTGCTATTGACTGCCATACAAACAAGTCGAGCACACGAATTTTCAGTACTGACTTATTTGTTGACCTGCCGATTACTAGTAGTTTTGAACGTATTTATTTAACTTCTTAATTATCTTACAGAGACCTTAAAAGACTACACTATTAATCATGGCTACAGGGACTTTGGACTTGAATATGATTACAAAAGCATCATGCACTACGATAGCCATGCATTGGGAGAAATGCCCAGTGGAAAATGGGCATTCGTGACTACCATGACTGCACGTGTAAGTATGGTTATTGAAAACAGAGCGAAATAGTTGGTTCTGTTTTTGGACCACAAACCATAAACCATACTTCGCTCTAACTGGGAATTTTTAATCTATACTTAACTAATTTCTTTGCTGGTATTATTAAAATTTACAAAATCATTAAGATTGTTTACGGCATTTTTCAATTTAATATTTTAAAACAACTAATTATTTTTCAGGCGCATACTCTGCTTTAAACTTATTTACTTTTGCCGCACTCCAGTTAGTAATCCAACCAAACAACACAAAACAGCGTCACGTAATACGTGTAAACTTGAAAATATATTTTGGAAACTTTTAACGATACTACGACTACGACCAGCTGGTGCAGCGTTTACCATTTCGTTCAATGTTTGGATTTAGCCTAACCTAAAAACGTGGTGTACAGTGTTTGAAAGACGCCCCACATTTTTCGTTTTAAATCTTACAAGTATTTAGTCTCCACATATTTATAAATTATTTTCTACTTTTTAGTTTGTTTATAAACGTGGTATTTTAAACAGTTTTTTTTATTAAAAACTATTTACTGCTATTTAGTTTTTTAACGTGTAATTATATTGAATCTATTTTATATGGCTTGTAAATATATAACCAAAACTTTTTTTACTGTAATCACATGTTGTTGCTATTCTCATAATCATTAAAACTTTAGAAAGTCTCAGGAGCAGAACATGTACCGCTTAACCTCTGCTCTTTGAACCAACTTTCAAATTAGTATTTACAGCTGACTTCAATTAATATATTTAATTTTTTTCCGAAATGTAGACATGAAAATTTTGGAAGCCCAAGGGCAATATAAAAATAAAATGATATAATATTGCATTGTCATCCATTTGTGACCTATTTTTTAAGTTTCAAGTCTCTAGCTCATTGGAAAGTTATTTTTAAAATGATTGCAAAATTTGTACTGGACAAGAAAGAGAGGTACAGTAATATAAATGTTTTAACGAAATATAGTTCATCACACGGGCAAAAAGTGTCTTTCAACCCTCGCTCATTTTCTAACCTCGCCTTCGACTCAATCGTAAAACTTGAGCTCGGGTTGAAAAGAGTCACTTAAGACTTTAGTTATGAAATATAATATTTTTGCTGTAAAAATTAATATTCTGAAAATATATAAGTTTGATTAGGCACCCTTCATTTTTTTAAAAACATGAACTATTATCCTATTGAGCAACTAAGAAAGCTAAAACCTACCAGAAGGTGTTCGCTATACATTATTGGTAGTTGTGAGACAATTGCAATGTATTATTTTGTGGGTAGAGTAAACCCACAAATAACACATAAACCTTAATAATTTTTAATCATACAGTAATCATTTTTATATGTATCATTTATATGTGATTATTTGTGATCTACTCGAGGTCATTGTGCAATTGTGCCACTTTGCGCACTCCTTACGCTATCCTAATACAGTAATTTTAAATGGTTATTTAAATTCTGTTGTTTTTCAGGACCCTTCCATTACACTTGTCAGAAACGAGAAGCTGAGCTACCGAGACAAAATCAAACTGGAACTAATGTATTGCCCGACACACACGCAAGTAGTCTATCCTGGATACATTCTTAGATACAACGGCGTAAAGCTTAGAAAACCGAAGGAAACTAATATGATTTATGCATAATAGGTGTGTATTGCGATAACACGAGAATAGTTATTTGTGCAACTAGTGAGAAAAGTGATCTGTTGAGTCACTCGAGTGAGGAATGGTTTCTCGAGTGAGGAAATTGCACTTTGCACTCGAGTTGCACATTATATTTTTCCTACAGATACCATAAAACTAATAAATTGGTAAAGAAACGTAACATATTTTTACTCAGAAATTAACTTTTAATATGAAATTTAATAATACAACAGTACAACAGCTGATCAGCTGATTTACAGCCAGTGCAGCCAACGTATTTCGCGCGCATAGCCTAATAACTTGTCTGCATATTACGCTCTCACTATTTCATGCCTTCACGTTGCAAATCTGAAATGAGACAAAGTAATCAGAGTGAGACAATGTTAACATTGTCTCACTGATGAGCGAATTGGCCACTTTGCTTTCTCAAATCAGTGAGAGAACGTGTACATTGTTAGGTAACTGTAGGAAAAATAATAAAAGCGGAAGGGAATCAGTGTTTGGTTTTGTGAAATATTCATACCTGATGATGCAATTTCCTTATTGTTGTGGCTTGTCTCTAAAAGGGTAAGATAAATATATACTCCATTTAGTGGTTTATTTTCCTTTTATTTTACCCCAGCTCTAAATATTTGTAACTACAACAAAGTTTTCGACAATTGTCATGATCACGTAGATACTGTCACAGAAAACGTACTACTGTACGTTTTCTGTGATACTGTTGAGAAAAATCATGTCTGCGACCGACTACCGTAGCAATGTGAGCAATGAACTTAGTAATAAAAACACATTTTACCTATTAAGAGAATCGCTTTTTAATTACCTCTAACATAAACCAATTACAACTACAGTACTTGTTAGCCACACTAAATAGTCCACATGCATATGATACGAGGAAATATTTTACGATTAAATTATCTGATATAAAGAACGTGACTATATTTTTGAGTATAAGGTATAATCAAATAATTAATTACACTAGCCAACTCCTAAACGTTAACATTTTAAGTAGCTTTATTTTTAATCTGCCGATTACAAGAGCAGAATTAGGTTAATAAAGAATCTTTTTAGAGTAGGGAATACTACTACCCCTTTTTTGCTTCGCTAGTGTATTACATTTTACACAAATAAGTAAAAAAGTAATTAAAACATTGACCATATACAAATCCTATTAGCAAAGTAACCCTGTTAGCAGCAAATTATTCAAACGATGAAATATATTGATGAAATTTGACCAAACATACGTTTCAATGTACTTTCGACTTATTATTGTTTGACACTAAACCTTTTAAAACTGTATATTTTTAACAAATTCATAAAACATGAAGGAGAAAAAATAAGCTACAAATAAATTACGAAGGGTTAAAACACATCCACGGCAGTAAAAGTAATTATTATTGTTTATCAAATAATTACGTTCCCGTAAGTGCTATCGCAGTTGATATTAACTGTGTCTTCAGGTAAAAAGTGAGAGTATTTAGTCCATTAACGAAAACTAAGGAGAGTAGCTTAGCCCGAAGGTGCACCTGCGAGAATTTAGTTCCTTCTCAAAGTTGCACTAAACAACGTGCATTTTCAGGTAAAACCAACCATAAACCATATTTTTTAATAACAAATAAACATAATCTTTTACTCAGAGTAAAAATATATTGCAAAAAGGTAGTGCAAACCAAATACAAAAAGTGTCAGTTAACTATTGGTTAATAATGAATAACGCATTACTGATAACAAAACGGATATATTTTCATATATTTTAAGTGTATTTGTATTTACATTAATTTAGATGTTTAACTTTAATTGGTTGTTAATTGATATTAGTTAATTGGTCAAAACCACTGGTTCTTTTACCTAATAAAGTTGAATTAAATTAAAACACGCTAAAGGAAATATCACCAACTAGGAATATTGACACATTTTAAGCTGTTTTAAATGAATTCAAGTGACGATTAAATCAAAATGAGCATCGCTATTACTGAATATGAAGTGGTAATGGAATGGGTAATGCATGTTTAAGTGAAGGAAATTTGAGAACGTCTTTTTGAAATCGCAACGATAGACTTTTCAATCTAGCAACCACCGTGACTTCGTGACTTCAAAATCTGTGATATATTTGAATTATTTTACAATATATTTTTGCTCTTAGTTAAGTTGACAATAAACTATTTTTTACGTGATAATCGACTTGTAATTGTACTAAGTAAACTCTGAACATAACTTGATTAGTAATTACTTAATTAGTGTTTTTCAATAGTATACTATTGAAAAAAAACTATTTAAGTAATTACTAATTAAGTTATGTTCAGAGTTATGGCTCTGTGGCTCTGTGGCTTATGGCTCTATGCACGGTTTCATATATGAAACCATGCATAACAAAGTGAACACGTGTAAAATATAGAGAATCACAAACACTACATACTTTATTTATTAGTCCAAGCTAAAAAAGAGGGGCTTTTGCTTTGTACAGGACTAAGGACAGGTGATAAGGACGAAATAGATTATTTATCATCATATCCCCATTATTTTCATTGCGTGGGCGATTTCTTATAGGCATCTTAAAAAATTACAAATACTAATAACACATACTATGAAAACACGAAAACTAACATAAGTAATTAATTTTCTTCCTTACATTTTAAACAAATAACATTACAATATTTTACTTGAATTCACTAAATCATCACCGTGACAAAAACCCTTATTTTAGTATGGATGTAAACAAAATTTTATCATGGCCATCTATTTTTATGTAAACAAATGTAAACTTGAAAAAGTTCAGATTGACAACAGAATTCCGCAAAATCTCTGAAATTTTAAAAGCCTGTAGGACGAAAGGATTAATGATATATCATCCAAACCCGCAAAAAGCACACAGGATAAGAGCTTAAAAATACTACCCAATATGCCTAAAATAATTAATATTTAGGGGTCAATTTTCTGAATACAAAAAATCCAACAAATTCTTTTCTATAACATAGATTCTTACGTAACAGTATAGCCATCAACACTTTGTTAGATTTGCTTACACAGTATTTTGTTTAAAATATAATTTGGTACTGTAAGCTTCAAATTTGCTTATAAACATTATATTTATATTCATGCAGAAGCGATAATTCATTGGATTTACTCTATTACTGTATATGATCCTTACGGAATAGGAGTATGATGTACCCTTGACGAGAAATAATGTTGTGATTCCAGTAATCAGTGATTGTAATCAGATTATATTGCTAGCAACTATAAATACTTTATTTTATTACTAAACAGAGTGAAAATAACAAGATACTCACTTACAACTGTTTATGCTGAAAACCGTTGTAGACTAGTGCTGCAGTCTGAGTTGTGGTCCTAGAACTACTACGATAGGGTCTTATGAACGTATGAAACTTATGAGGCACTCACCTACTAATCGCACCCTTAAAATATATTAAATACTAAATATACATAAAAAAGTTGGGATTTCACTGCTGGATGGTTTACTTACTAGTTCAGTTATTCAGCTACGTAAGTTATTAAATATATTGTCTTAAAATTACGTTTACTTTGTGTGATGAAACCCATATAAATCTTCCGCGGATGAAGCGAAGGTAAAGTATTCACTAACTCCCGGTCAAGTACCTCTACTTCAGTAATATTGCAGCATAACAACCCTGTAAATCATACAAAACGTTCTAGGGAAATATCGTCGGTCGACTCAAGTACCTACTGTCTTTATGTAATGCATAATATTGTGAATGAAACGAATTTTGACGTATTCTTGGCTGTAGTTGAAATTATTTGCATATTACAATACTGGGACTTTTTGTTCGTAGCGTAATTAAAGATTACCGTCTTGGTTATAAACTGTTGATTTATTCGTCGTAACTTATTTTTTACAGCCATTATGAAAAGAGAGATTTTCTTGGCTGTCAACTTAATGTAGTTTTGTTGTTTATCATAAGTTCTCATATTGAGTGGCTAATAAATAAATATTTACTCTTAAAAAGGCGAAAAGTAAAAAAAGAATTATTATTGTAATAATAAATTATGTACGTTGTTAAACGAACGTGGAAAATTCTTACCAATTTTCCATTTACATTGGTTTACATATTTGCTCGTAGCAGAGATACTTCGAGATCCATACAGTGATCGCGTTAGAATGAATATTTCATGGAGAAGATTTCTCTCCGGAACTGGAAGTGACTATGATGGAAGCGACAGCCAGAGAAATACTGAAAATTGCTTCCTTATCAATAATATACAGAGTACACGGATTTAAGCCAAGGTACATCTTCGATGGATGTGAATTTAAGCAGCGTTCAGATTCATCCCACAAAGGATTGCTTCAAGATTCCTGTTGTTTAGATTTGGAAATGTCTTAATTACATGCATATCATCACCTCTGAGGTATCCATATTTTGTGTGTAAATGTTCTTATTAATTTTTTAAATAAAGCTCCCATAAAAAAACATTTACTAAGCAAATACAGGGAACAGTTATTTCAAAATATAGATGATTTAGACTAATTTTGAAATTAATATTTAAAAAAAACGGTATATATATATCATTAGAAGAGATAAAAAACCATAGCTTGTATTGTATCTAATAACAGGTGTCAAAACCTACTAGAGTATTATAAATTGATTGTTCGAAATCATTTTAATTTTATTGACACCTATAACGTTTGGAAAAAATATCCAAGCTTAATAATTTTCTTCATTTGCCCCTTAACATAATAATGAATACCAAATGCATTTTTTTGTCTATTGAATCTTGTAGGCTTACACCTTGAATCGCTAAGAATATTAATAATTGTGTTTTGATGCTTATAAGAAAGCCTTATGTTATTTTTTAAAGCCATAATTGAATACTATTAAATAAAACAAACAACACTGCTCATAATAATAATTCAAATGTTTTATTAGGGAATAAACTTTGAAAATAAAACGAAGACTGTTTTTTAAGATGGAAATTGTTTGAAACGTTTTTATCGTTAAGTTTTATTGTAAAGCTACTGAGTGAAGAGCATTATGTTTGTTTACAGTCTATTAACAATGAAGATATAAGTTTTTGTGTTCTTCAAGGCTTACATTGCATTGGTTCCTTTACTCTTAATGGTGCGTAGATATATAAAACGAATCATTTAAACTGTAGAGTACCTAATTTTACATCGTAGACAATTTATGCTTAACATTTATACTTCTAATTTCACAACATGGAAGTAAGTAATATCTTATTTTAATTTAGTCTCGATTCAATTTCAATTCTCATTAATATTCTGGTTTTTATAATGAAATAGCCTTGATATGTTCATTAATAATGAAAAAAAAAAAACTTAAAACTAATGTTTAGAAACGAATAAAATACTACAAAATAAAAAAATAACATTATAGACATAGACATAGACATAGACATACTTTATTTGCACAAAACATTCCATACATGTCATTACATTTAGAATAGGTGCATTGTCAAAATTACAGATCCATATATAAAATATTTAAAATTAAAACTTAACTTAAAATTAAACACTTAAAAATTATACTTAAAATTATACTTAAATTATACACAAGATTTTAATATATAACTATTCCTAAGTTTGTATT